AGAGGCAATAATGCACGTCCGACTCACGCTTGGAGTCGATTGCCGCGATTTCAAGCCTACGGTTCTCATGCTCAAACGTTTCACTTCTGAAAATGTTTATAACAACATCAATGATAGTGACCTCGAAGTCCTTAATGTTTTCCCCAGTGATGAATTTTGATACGAATCAGTATCTTCATCGCAAACAGTCATTAAAAGTCGAGAGCATCCATGACTAATTGATATTCTTCTCTATGTATTTTTTTTCCACTTATGATACGAATATATGTGATAATTTCTATAAAAATGTTATTTTGAAAAAATAAAACTAATATTCTCCGTTAAATATATTTTTAATTCATTTTATTTTACTCGTTATTATGTATAATTCTATTTCAAGGCGTATGTTTCGGGATTTAGAATTATATATTTTCGTGATTTGAATTTCGTGCTTCAGAAAGTAGGCGAGCAGGCGAGTGGGGGCATTCAGGGGATTTTTGGGGGAAACTGAGCGACGCTAGGGGGAAGGCACGGAGACCGTCTGGCAACACTGGCAGACGCGGTCTTTATTGCTTCGCAGACAAAATTCCCGCCCCGCCCCGTCGTCTGCTCAGCGCCTAAAAATCGGCGTAGATAACACTTGGCCACAGAGGTCGGCAAAATCATTTTGCTCCACTACACAGCTTTAATAATAATAAGTACATACGCGAAATCAAGCGAAGCAAGGGGCGGGTCACTTGTATTAAATAAAATAAATACAACTACAGTAATTTTTATTAAAACCAAGACTTTAAGAACCATTATAAAATCTTAAAAACTCTACTTCTAAAACTTAGGTTAAATTACTAAAACTACAGTTTTACACAATACTTCTCGAAAATTATCAACAATTACAGCTATATTAATAAATTTACACGGTTTAAAGCATAAAGATTGCTGAAGTTTTTAGTTTTAGTGGTGATTGTTTGAGTAAGATTTTTGATAAAGTAAGTGAACTTTGTATAAAAGTTCAGTATGTTGGTGGCCTACTTTTAGCACAAAAAAGTAACATGCTGTTTTTCACTATGTTTAAGATTTTTTTAAGACATTTTCTTCTTAAACATGTGTTTTAGGTTGAATACCTTTTTTTGTGGCGAGACTATTAAAGTTTACTTTTGATGTGGGGTTTAAAAGCTTCTTGTTGTACCTCCTAAAACATATACTTTTAAAAATGGAAACCATACTGAATAAAGCCATATTTATCAAATACAATATTACAATTTTTAAGAACTAGTGTGGCTTGCTTATGCTATTCTTTTGTCCTAATCTGCACATACTGTCAATATAACTTTGTCAGTTATAGTCATCAATTGTAAGAGCAACTAGTCAAAAATGCATAAATGACACCAAAGGAACTGAAATTTCATTAGAGGTTGTATTAGGCTGCAACAATGTTAAAAACTTAAGACAAGAGTCAATAAATTATACTACAATCTTATAAAAATTTAGTCTATATTTATTTACTTAAAGTACAGTAATGGCACATAAAATTGCTTTCAGGTATCAAAATTTCACAATCATCAATGAATTTTTGCAATTGAATAAGTTGTGGTTGATAATAATTATATGTAGGAATAAATTACCTGTTGCGTTATGAGTTAATATAAAATCTGATTGTGAATATAAATCCCACCAATGATTGTCGAATGTTATTACATTACATTTAAAGCTTTTGAAATTTGAATTATGTGTAGTACTATAGTAGTTACATGGATGGATGTATTTAAGTCAAAGCTCACTTTAAAAATACCTTCAGGAATATTTTGGCTTGCATCTGAATAATAAAGTTTACTCTCTTAAAGAACGCAAATGAAGGTTTTATAGTTGATCATAAACCTTATTTGCTACCTTGCACAGCAGTAAGGGTTCTAACAACTATTTTCAACATAGTATTAAAATTTAATAAATATATTAAGGAATACCTTAATGTATTCAAATACCACATTACATAATATTGGAATTGAAATCTAGTACCAGCTTTCTTTATTGACTCTCACAATTGTACATTATTTTGTATGCCATTATAAGTAAAAATATACTTAACAGAAATATCAAACACAGTTTCACTAAAACATATAAATGCAACAATGTGAGCTAGCATGCAAGTTTCAATACACTATGTTAAGCTCACATTGAGTGTAGAATAGTGCAGTACACTGACACTTGTGGTCTTTTTTTAATTCCATAAAAATACATAAATACCACAAGAGAATATTTTTTAATAACAGTCCATTGATATTGATTGACAGTCGATTGATATTTACTGTTGTTAAAAAAACTCTTGTAGTGACCAAAAATGGAGAATATTGAGAAAAGGTCAAAAACCAGTCTTTAAATACTTATTCAGAGGCTACAGTCTGAGTCTTGAAACTGCTTCTCCATAAGCTTTTTCATTTTTTCAGGAACAGGCACTCCAGAGTGTGCTGCCTTGGGCCGTCGCTTCCAGGACGCTTTCTTGGCGCTTTTTGTTACGCTGCTGGGCAGTGGAACGGTATTATTTTCTTTCGGCCTAGGCGTAGAGGCTTTCGGAACTGTATTGGTTCGTTGTCTTAATCCAACCGTATTAATGGCTAAAAAAATATAATATTAAGTAATCATTCTCAATCTGATCGTTCTCACGTTCCCACAATGTTTGTTAACCTACCTTTTAAAGGCACTTTCTCTGTTGTTTGTCTTTTCGGCATTGCCTTTTTCAAGACTGAAGTTGGAGTTCTGCTTTTCGTCCCAACGGTTTTCACAATTGTGCGTTGTACTTTGGGAGTCAGTTTTTGTGTTTCTCTAGGAGCCATTACTATTTTGGCTTAGGATTATCTCAGCACTTTGAAAAAACTCCTGAAGGGATTTGCTCTGAAAATCGTTAGAATTTTTTAAATTGACACAGCACAGCAAAAGTAAACAACTGTCAGTCGTGTCAAAGAAGAGAAGGGGAGTGGATAACCATAGACAGCAGAGCGCAGCACCCATAGACGCAGATAATGCCATGCCTACACGCAACATGCACGCAACGACAACAACAACAATCCCATGCCATGGCCCATAGGTCACTTTTTTATTTTGGTCTCGATTCTGGATTGATTCTTTAAGCTTTAATATAAATCTCTCCTTTTTATTCTTTATAGAGAATGACATGGATTCTAGTCTTTTCTAGACCAATGTTGAATACTAAACAAATAGCTTATAAATGTCATTTCTCAGCTCAGCCGACCTTTTCGCAATTTTTTTTTTGACATTTACAGTGGTGTCGAATCTGGCATGATTCTCTAAACTTAAAACTAAATTTAACATCAGTCTCACCTTTTCATTCTGTATAGAAAATGACAAGGATACACTGTTGTCAAATTTAATTTTAGGTTAAGAGAATCATGCCAGAATCGACACCAATGGCGTAATAATATAGCAGTAGTGGTATCGATTCTGACATGATTCTAAATGTTAAACATTGATGTCGATTCTGGCATGATTCTCTAAAGCTAAACTTAAAATTGACAACAGTGCATCCCTGTCATTCTCTACACAGAATGAAAAGGAGAGACTGATGTTAAATTTAGTTTTAAGTTTAGAGAATCACGCCAGAATCGATACCATTTAGATGTTAAATTTAGTTTTAAGTTTAGAGAATCAAGCCAGAATCTATACCATTGGATTACTAAATAGCTCCGTGATTATCATTTCTATCTGTTACAAGCGGTTAGCCAATAGGCCTACTACAGTTATTGACTTCTCAGAATAAAGATAATATGCTTTAAATAATATTCTGAGATTGACTTCACTCTACCTACTCACACAGTGGTGTCGATTCTGACAGAATTCTCTATGACAAGGATACACTGGTGTCAATTCTGACACGATTCTCTAAACCTAAACTAAAATTTCAGTGTTACTAACCCTTACCAAAATTTTCCCCTTAGTATTTTTTAAATTCCCCTAAAATCCCCTAAATATAGATTTTTTTATGTACCTACTTATTTCCGAAATTCTTTCATTGCTCATAAATTAAAACGTTACAGTAAATTATTTTATTGAATAAATACAGTTTCCGAAAGGAAAATCAAACGAAAATGAGCTTACAGCAGGTTGTTAGTTAAATTGGTGGAATAAAATCATTAGGTTTTTCAACAACCAATCACAGCAGTAGACATGTGATTTAATAGTGTGTCAGTTAATAAACAAGCTTTTATTAGTTTCACCTGTATGCAACTAATTGATTCGTTTGGGATCGAATTTGATCCACTTCCCGGTTTCCGATTGAGCTGAAATTTTGCATGCATGTATAAATCGGATGACAATGCAATATTATTATGGCATAGATCTGATCTGATGATGGAGCTGGAAAGTGGCCATAAAAACTCCGTAATTAAACGACGTAACCCCATCGAATTTGGGCTCGTTGAAATCCTTGACGAGTATCTTGGTCGGCTGGAATATGCAACTCCGAAAAAGGGAAAAAAGTTCATTCCGTTTGTTATGAAAGTGAATAATGGTGTCAATTCTGGCAGGATTCTCTAAACTTAAAACTAAATTTAACATCAGTCTGTCCTTTTCATTCTGTATAGAGATTGACAAAGATACACTGTTGTCAAATTTAAGTTTAGCTTTAGAGAATCATGCCAGAATTGACATCATTGTCCGAAGTTTTGTTAAAAGCCCCTGAAAAAACCCCCAAAACATTCCAGCCCCTAAAAAAGTCCCTTTTAACACTTCTAGCCCCTAAATCTGGGGGCAAAACCCCTAAGTTGGGAACCGTGTTAAATTTGACAATAGTGTATCCTTGTCTTTCTATATACGGAATGAAAAGGAGAGATTGATGTTAAATTTAGTTTTAAGTTTAGAGAATCACGCCAGAATCGACACCACTGTTGTCAAATTTAAGTTTAGCTTTAGAGAATTATGCCAGAATCGACACCAGTCACGACTTACGCACGCATGCAGGATCCAGCAAGATAGATAGTGCGTAGTAGACTTATGTATGATTTAAACCACAACTTAATGCTTTAATAATGGCAACATCGCCATTTGGCGTCCATCTTTAATCTTTGATGTGTTGTGTGTGTTGTTGAGCAAAATTGCTAAAAAATATTGTTACGACTTAAACTGTTCCAAAATAAATACTGTCAAGAACATTATTAGCTTGGTATTGTTGTAATCTTTTACTTGGTAAGATGTAATCTGTTAGTTGTTTATCAAAAGTGTCACAGTATCATTATCGTTTGTTCCACAAAAAAGTTTCACTGTAATTTCTTTGCTATTGACCTAGGTACAAATTAATTGACCAAACTTCATTGGTTTTAAGATAATTTTCTAAAGAGTATTTATCTCACATAACTGGCAATTGGTTAAATAATAAATTGGCATTTTCTATTGTTATAGCAGATGAAGTGTGAATATGGATAGGTTGAATCAGTTGCGAGAAGCGGGGAGTTCTCGAGACTCCACGCTTGACACTTCATCTCCGCCGAGTGAAGCTTACATGACAGCCAACGAGAGCTCTTCAAAATATTTTTCTCTGTCAGATGTGGATTCTACATTTGATATTTCCCCAATCAAAGATGTGTCTTCTACTATAGAGACAGAGAGGACAATTACTGAACCAGACAGACTGATATCTAATTTGTCTCCAATCGGAAAGAAAAATGACTTCCTAGATAGCTACAAAATTGGTAAACAAATAGAAGCTGCTAATATTTTGTCTGGTGGTGTGGATATATTTGATGATAATGATAATTCCTATGATGGTGATGAGCTTGTTATTGATGATAATGTTGAAGGTGAGGAGAAGTGCAATGCAGATGTCAAGCTGGCAGAGTCTCAATTTAAGGAGGACAACGCTGCTGAAACAACTCTAGTTGATTCGGAACCAGTGCCTCGAAAAGACTCCACTGAAGTGATACTGCAAATTGATGGAAAAAATGTTGATGCAATTGACATTGGTAATGGTTTATATCTATATAGAAAGGAGGGTGAAGAGGAATTGGCTGCTGTTCAGATTGATGAGGACCAACAGCAGCCAAACTTTAAGTTTCTCAAAGTGCGGTGAGTAGTTAAGTTCATATCTAAATAAGTATGAATAAAAGTAATTTTTTGCACAGTTGAATTAAAATTAAGAGAAAAATAAATTTAAATAATTTCATTGAATTTTAATGACAGCAAAAATATTAGTTTCAATTTTGTTGAAAACAAATTAATGTTTTGAATAATTAGGATTTAGTTTATGATAAATATTTAATTCTAGTAAACTAAAGTAATAACTAGGGATCGGATAATTGGATGCATATTTACCTAAATGAAGCAAAAATCAATGGCAAGTTCCACCAAGTACCAATGGATCCACTCTGGTACTTACTGCACAGCAAACTTAAAACTGTTATTTTGATTTCTTAATATTAACTATACATATTATTGCTATTTGCTTATAAATATTAAAGAAATACTTACATTCTTTACTTTTATTTCAATAAAGAAGTAGTCAAATATTATAAAAACTGGTCTGCCATAAATTCTGATAGTAAATATTGGCAAACAAAGGAATAGGTTTTGCCCATATCTGCCCTAGAGCAACACATGCCACAGTAAATAAACCTGCCTCTCTACCACAACCATGTAACATTGGTATTAGCTTTATGATTAACAGTACCCAATAACTTGTTTTAGATTGCATACTATTATGTACCAAAAATATGAAGTTTAAATATTTACACAAGCATTTTAAGCAATACAAATGGGCTACAAATGTAAACTTTTATATTAATTTCAGTAGTTGATAAACTATAAAGTGATAAACCTACTCACACCTATAAGACCTGTATTCTGCTAAATGTCATGGTATTTGTGAGCTATGGGTTCATGTGGTGTGACCACAATCAATGCTTCATATCTTCTATCTACAGGGACATTTGTGTTAATATGTAAGGATCTGCGCTAAAAAAGTTAATACAGAAGTAATCTTTGTTCAGTAATTGTTGATACAGAAGTAATTGAAAACATAAGTTGATACAGAAAAGCAGAAAGTTCTTTTAAAAGAGATTTAATTTTTATTTTCTTACTTACAGTGAAAATAATGAAGGAAACTTAGAAGTGTATGAAGAAATACAAATTGAAGTCCCTAAAGAAGTGGTAAGTATATATATGTTCCTTTAGGTTATCCTAATAAAATGTGTTAGTTAAATATCCTATTTTAGAAATGATAAGGGCTTATACACTCTGTTTATATAGACTATTTTATAGTGAAACAGAATGTAATTGATTAAAGTAATATGTAAAACTTTCAGACTGCCCAAGAAGGAAGTTCTAATGAAGTTAATGTGTCACATGTACCCATTAAAGACATAAACAAAGTTATAAGTGACATCACTAGCAGCAAAGTGACTGAAAGAAAATCTAAAACACAAAATGAAAGTGCAACAGTTTTAAATAACATCGATAAAGACTGTATTAAAGAAATTTGTGAAAGTAAAACAGAAGCAAATGGAATATTTATGAAATTTAGTGAGTCTAGAAAATCGCCAGTTGTAGGTAGTTTCACACCAATGACATATCATTCAACTCCAAATAAGGAGGGCATCCCCCTTACTAAAACAATGGTTGATTTGCACCTACATCCTAACAGACAATCAGATAATGTTAAGAAAACTATTGAAGTTCACACTGATATAGCAAAACCAAAAGTAGATAAATATACAAAAGATAATGATGATAAAATAAAAATTGACGACATTGAGCAAAAAATAGATGCAAAGGGAAAATGCTTGTCGTCAGCCTCAAGTACTGAAAGTTCAAAGCACAACCATGCAGATGATAATGTGAATATTAATGAAAAATTAAAGATAAATTGTGAAGATAAAGAAGAAGCAAATATTAGCAAAACTGAATGCTTAAGTAAAGCTGATGTGAAGGAGAAGATAAATTGTGATGATAAAGAAAAAGGAAGTGTTGCCGAAACTGAATGCATAAGTAAAGTTGATATTAGTGAAAACAAAAAAGATGAATCTAAATCTAAGTTAGAACCTGTACTTGGAATCTCAAATCAACAAGGAACTGAGAAAAAAACATTAGAAACAGCAGCCATTGCTCAGTTAGATTCAGTAGCAAAAAGTGTTTCTGAAACATTATTGAATGATGCTGAAAAAGATTTTAAAAGTGTTAGTGGCATCAATAAAAATGAATCTATTGTCAAATTAAAAGTTGCAAGTAGTACAATCGAAAATTTGGAAACAAATGCAAAAGTCGATATTGTACAAAGTCAAATTAGTACTACAGATAAAAACTCTGCTATCATTTCTATAGAAAATGAAAACAAATTAAAAGATGTGGATGCCGCAAGCAAAGGAGCCGATAAGAATGTAGCTGACCAGCATTGTAAAGAAATTTGCACCAATAAAATTAGTGAAGAATCAATAAAAGACAATATTATTGATAATGTTAAAGATACAAAAATTGAAAAAACATCAAATATTGATTCAGACTCAAGTGAAGGTAAAGCTGTAAACTTAGCAGGTACTGTGTTGAAACCTAATAAGGAAATAATTTCTAATATATCGAAAGACGAAATCAATAAAGATTCTTTGTTACTGAGTACATTGCCAGATATTAATACTTCACAAGAAAAATTACTCAAGGCACCAGATAATAAAAAACCAAAACTGGAAAAGATCATTAAACCTGAGTTACTGAAAATAGACAAATCGTTAGACACTAAAGAAAGCACCGCTGACTCAACCACAGTAAAAATAATTGAACAAAAAGTATTAGTCACAAAAGAAGTTGCTTCCCTAGAACAGTCTTCCTTTTCAGATCAAAAAGACATCTGTAATGCAGAATCAAAACCTTTGGTTACACAAAATATCAACCAAAATAAAGATATTGCAACTGCCAAGAAGATATTTCCTAAAGTTAGTACTGCAACTGATCAGAAACCTTCCAGTGTCAATCATATACCTGTTCCGTTTGGCAAATGGACAGAGGCTAATAGACAAGCGTTTTTAAATAAAATAAAAGAAACAAAAGTGCCTTCAAATAGCTCTAATGGAAAACAAATAAAGAATTCAAATGATTTAAATCGCAGAGATGTATTAAAAAAGATAGACAGTCATAGACAGACGCACACCAATATAATATCATCAAATGTCAAAGTTCAAGATTTTGGTTGTAGCAATAGGTTGCCCATAAAGAAAGAAGCCTCCGTTTTTTCGTGTAAACCTGCAATACAAGACAGCAAAGTTCCTGTTAAAAATGAAACTTCTTTATCAAAAAATAACTCTGTAGCTGCAAAAAAACATTTCAAGCAAGAATCATTTCCTAAATCACAGACTGATTCAGTAAGTGTCACTACTGAATCTACTGCTGCATTGAAAAAAGAACAAACACAAAGAAAAGAAATAAATAATCAGGATTTGATTGACAAAACTATTGAAGATATAATAAATAGAGCCATACCTATAAAATCTCAGCCAGATAATGTTCATGATGTTATGAATGAGACATTACATGCTTTACAAGATAAAGCAAAATTCGATGAAATTGAAAAGAAAATGAATGAATTACATGGTATTTCGTGCTTAGCAAAAGCTAGTGATGCGGAAATTCAGCGTGCTGATCAAAAAACAGAAAAAGGTGATAATCAAAAAGTGTCATCGAATAAACAAAGTAAAATACCTAGTCTTCTTCCATTTCCTAACAAAAATCAGCGAAAAGGCGTGAAGGAAAATATTACAGATATTGATTCAGAAGAAGAGATTATTGAACACGAACCAATTACGGGTGATATGGATCTAAATAAAAAACAAACTACAAAATTACCTATATCTGATAAATTAGAAAATGCTGCACCAATAAACCCTGATAATTCCAAGAAAGAAGCCATTATAACTGAGAATGATTTTGATAAATTTGTAAGACGAAATTCAATAAGTTATGAAAATTGTATAACTGTTAATTTTGATAACAAAGAACATAATGTATTTCAGACAGTTGTACAAAAGGAAAGTGTTTTGAAAACATATTCTAAACATGATTTCGCAAATCGCGGAAATAAACCTATGTTGCCCCTAAAGCTCGAAACCGAGAAACAAAATATCAATTTTTATCCAAATCAAAATACATCTAATGTAGCGACTATACACCACGAAGATAACACAAACAAAAATTATCACTCAAAAGTGAAAATGGCTTATCAAAATGCCATAACAGCGAAACGCCAATCGGAACGCCAAATAACTATAATAGAAGACAAACCGGTGAAGGTCGTCTTTATGGAGAGTAATGTTGAATTTATTCCAAAACAATTAAATGCTCAAGGAAATGAATTATCTCCAGTAAAAAAACAAACTTCTAATATTGATATGTGTGCAATTTCAACTAGCGACTCACTCGACTCGGACATAATAGAATCCATAGATGATGGAAAATATCAAGATGAGACCAAATTAAAAACAAAACATCAAAGGAAACAAGTTTTAACTCCTGTAGAAACTCCTGAGCTAGAGTTAATAGAACCCGGTGATTTAGGAATAGAAGTTTCTCCAAAAAAGAAACGAAAAATTGAAGACAAAGTCGAGAAGAGTCCTAAGGCAGTAGTCCCTAAAAAATCTTATTTATTAGGTCGCGGAACAATAATTGAAAATGAAGTTTCCAAACCGTACGAAGTTATTAACGTTTTTGAAAAGGAATCGGTAAAAATTGACAACAGTCATATCACACATAAAAATACAGCTTCAGCTATTGACAATCTTGTAAAAGCAGCTGAATTATTAGAAACTCAGTCAGAAAACTTGACTAAAAGTTCTCTACTAATACAAAATTCTGATAGTCAACAAAATACACCTGTAAAGAGAGGTAGAGGACGTCCGAGAAAATATCCTCTACCTGAGGGAGCTGTTGATAAAGCTAAAGTTCCGACCCCACAGAAGAAGCCGAGGCTCTCAGATGTCAAAACTGATATCAGTCCAAAGGAAAACACGGAAAGGAATCGGGATACAGATGATGATAGCAGTGATGGTGAAAGAATAAGAGAAAATTGGACAATGGGAAAAATTAATGAAAATATACTTTGTCCTATCTGTAATAAATTGTTCCGTTCAGAAAATGTAGTTTTTAAACATGTCAAACATTGCACTGGACCTTCGCCAAACAGATCCGACTCCAGTAACAAAAGCCCAAGGAGGTATAGAGATTCACAAGATTCGGACACGAAATCTGGTGATAGTAAATTAGATGAAATGGATGTCGGCGATAGTGATTTTCCTATAATAGACATGAGGAAAAAACGAAAATCAAGAGATACCAATCCCAAATCCATGACTGACAAAGAAGAAATTATTGTACTTGATACTCCAATTAAACCGAAACCGGAAAAGACCGAGGGTATTAAGCTCACAACGTCGAGGAAAATAACTTCATATAAAACCAAAATATTTGATAAAGGAAATGATTTGATGTGTGAATTCTGTGGCAAAACATTCAGACAACTCTCTTATTTGGTAAATCATAAATTGCAACATGAAAAGGATGGATCGAAGAAAAACGTAACCGAAATAAAGACAACAAAATCTGTATTCAGTTGTGAAGTCTGCAAAAAAGAATTTCGCAAACTACATCATTTGGTACAACATCGGTTCATTCACAATCCTACTGTTGCTTCGTCTACTAAATTATCGAGAAAAACTTCTTCCGAACAAAATGATGACAAAGCTTCCAAAGACCAGAATATAGTTAAGCAAAACGATGACGCCAGTGCTGGTTTTCGTTGTGAGCCTTGTGACAAATCGTTTAGAAAATTACATCATTTAGTGGAACACCGAGAAACTCACGATGGCATAAACAGACAAAAGAACACCACCACATCAGGAACAGTGGAAAAATCACAACCACCTCCACAATGTGAAATATGTAAGAAAACCTTCAGAAAGCTACATCATTTAATTGAACATAAAGAGCAGCACTTGGACACTGTTTCTGAAAAATCTGATGACAAAAGTGTGAAGAGTTCTCTCTCTACCAAAGATATTATTCATGAATGTCCACTTTGTTACATGGTCTTCCCTAATGAGCATTCATTGAATAAACATTCAATTATATGCCAAAGGAAAAAACGCCAGGCTGCTTCTAAACAAAATAAACCAAAAGAAGAGCTAGAAAATGTCGATCAAAATAGCGAGCTTGATATAGCTGATGAAGAGTTTGATAAAGATAACGATGAGGTTATACTAGTATCAACAGAAATCATTACAAATGAGAAAGACGTACCAAGTGATACACGCGAAGAAGGTCTCAAAGACATTATAGATAGAAACAATACCGTAAAATCTGCTAATGTAAAAACAAATGACTTATCTCCTGAAACACCAAAACATAACATCACAATTGAAAAACCAAAGGACCTTGAAATTTCTAGAGGTGAGCCATTAAATGAACGTGAAAAGGAAGCAGTAAAAGTGATATTAGATCTTCCAAATAGTTGTAAAAAGCCAGAAAAAAGAGAGCAAACCAAGAGTCATGAGACACTGAAGAAAAAGGCAATAGTTAAAGAGAAAATAGCTCCAACAGTCGCAAAACGGCTGAAACCAAATCTTCCATTACCTATTGTTGAATCTAAAGAGTCTAGTGAAGATGATGATGAAATAAGATACATGCTGAATCCAAACTACAAAATGGATGACAATACTGAAGAGAAATTATTCATGAAAGTTAGAGCCAACAAACGGAACTCATTGCAAGTCGAACGCCCTAACTCTAAAGATTTAATCAAAAGACGAATATCGCTACAACACTCGCACAAAGTTCCTCGTTTAAAACCCAAGCTAGTTCAAAGCAAAGCAATAGTTACTAATACAGCTGTATTAGCTAAAAAGGTTAAACCAGAGCCGGCTCCTTACACAGATTCGGACGATAGCGACATAAAATATTCTTTTCCAAAAACTATTACTGAAAAGATCACAAAATCAAACATCGAAGAATCTTCATCTAAAGAAACAGGACGAAAGGTGCCGAGAAAATCCCTGGCGGAAAAAAGAAAATCGCTAAGTGGCATCGCGAAAAGGAAATCCCTTGGAAGGCCAATAGGTGCGAAAAACAAAGTAGCACAACCTTCGCCATTGAAACCGTTTAAAAAACGTGAGTACTCAAGTAATATTTTTTATTATTAAATTAATCTTACATGTTAGGCAGACATAGAAATGTAAAAACTAACTGAGTGCGCCAGCTACTAGCTAACCCATATACAATGGCCATGTTGACATGTTACAGTAGTGACAGAGACTGTCAAATAGAGGCTTTTGTATGTTATTGTATTTAACTGTTTTAAATTTGAAATAAAAAAGTGTCCGGAACCATATTCTATAGTTAGACCATAATTTAATATGATTTTGTTAGCTCCTTCGTGCCTCTGAAGGCACGTTGTTCCGTTGGTCCCATTTGCAGTCGTTAGTACACATCAATCCGCATTGGTCCCGCGTGGTGAGTCTAGGCCCAATCTTCCTATTTCTTATATATTATGCATAGGGAAGCCCTATGCCCCTGCAGTGGGGACATTAATAGGCTGATGATGATGTATGAATTAAAGACATGAGTGGATGAAGGTGTTAAGTCGCATTTTTTTAAATTCGTCGAGCTCCTCTGGTATTCATTTTATTATTTATATGGAGGAGCTCGACGGCGCAAGTGGTTAGCGCGTTCAGCTGCGATTGTTGAAGTTAAGCAATTTTTGCTGTGATACGGTCATTGGATGGTTGACCAAAAATTTATTATCTCGAGCTCCTCCGTGCTTTGGAAGACACGTTAAGCATCTGCAGCCGTTAGCACCCGCCAATCCGCACTGGGCCCGCGTGGTGGGTCATGGCCCAGCCTCCCTATTCCATCCATAGGGAAGGCCTGTGCCCCAGCGGACATTAATAGGCTGATGATGAAGATATGTATTCTATCCATTACCCTACTATCCCATAACATAAGCCTTAAAGTGCTTACTTTGGGGCTAGGCTAATCGGTGTGAGTGTTGGAAATATTTATTTTATTATTTATTTATATGGTTAGGTATTGCGGAGATAGAGCACAGGTGCGATTGCGGCGAGTTGTTCAGTAGCGCCGCATTGTTGTCCCGCCACACAACTCTCGCTCACACACCGCCGCGAATACGGCGCCGTCGCTCCCCCCCTCCCGAGACCAAACCCAAAACTACCCCCAAAACCAAAACTACCGCCAAAACAGCCCCCAAGAAGACCTCTGCCATCCCCAAACCGGATGTGAGCGTATCGCGAAAATCCAGCGTCAGAAGCGATCATAACGCCCGCACCGCAATCACGAGGAAATCCAGCGCTCCGAAAATAGAAATAAAATCACCCGACTCGCGAAAATCTCTCAAAACCAGCGAAGCTCCAAAAACGGGCATCGCAGACGTAAAATTGAGAAGGTACACCGCGCACAAGGGAGTGCCCGTCCCAGAGAAAATGAAGAAAATGATGGAGAAATCCAAAAATTAAACCTCACTATTACTGAATCGGACTGAAGACATTTCCCAGGCTGTTGGACGGAAATGATAGGCTAGTGTTATAGGTTAGGTGAATCGCTAGTTTTATATTCTAGATGAAATCACGCATCACGACGCTCTCGATTAACGTAGGTAACAGACGGACCATTGTAATATAGAAATATTTTTACATATTGACGATTAAGACACTCACCCGACATATAATACAATATTTTTATTGTGAGCCGTAAAAGCGTTGATATTGTCTATATGTAAATTGGAGGACTTAATAATAAATATATTTTGTCAATTTGTTGTAGAACTAAATAATTAACTCGTAAGTTCGATAAAATATTTATGTTTTGCTAGTTTTAAGTCGAAGATCGTCTTTGACATTACAATTTTTCGCGCAGTGCAATTTCAGCTGGCAATTGTTAGTCGATTGTTGAATTCGATTTATATCGTTATATTATCGTAGAAGAGGGTAGTCTACCTCTTTTGATATAATATAATTTTACATGCTTCTATCAATTTACGCAAATATAGTATATTTTACTAATTGAAATATGTAATATAGTCATGGAAAATGAGCTTATTGAGTGAACGTTAATTTCGTTGGGATTTATGTTGACGGAATTGAAAAATACTGAAAACTATCCATTCAGTTATAGTCTCTTAATGTTGAACTATTTCTGTAAGTTCAACTATCAAATATATAGATAGTGGTTGATTTTATCATTTCATCATTGAAATGAAGTTCGGGAATAACAAAATTATATCAATGGAAACACTGCATATGATGGATGTGTTGAAATTATTATATTGAAACAATTTTAGGCACAAGACCAAAAATTTATATTTTGTAAATTTCAATTTACCTATTTGATTGCCGTTGATTGAATATGGATGTAGTTTAGATGGATATAATGAAAGTCTCAGTTATATCTGTTTGTTGAAGACTTGTTCATGTTTATACTAGGGACACATGGGTTATCAGAGAGTGTTGCTGCTAGTTTTACCAGTGCAAACAAGAAAATGTCCTATTCTTTTTACTTATGATGCAAAAATAAAACTTATTACAGGAATAGGTTACTCAATTACATAATTAGTTCTTAGATTAATATTTAATTCTTTTTTTTTAACTTCAATCTTATTATAATATTTTAATTTAAACCCGGGTGGTTTGGCTGGCCTACGTTGCCACCGACCGACTTACTGTAGCCATTATTCCTACACGAACAAAGAAATTCGGTGACTCATTTCTTTGTCGTACTATTCCTGAGTGAGTTCCTTCCTACAATCTGGGGTCCTTTAAGAGAGGCGTGAAGAAGCATTTTTGCAGGCCGGCAAGGTGAGGATGGTTGAGGTAGCAGTTTATAACTGCTGTACCAGCTATCTTCTCGTTTGAACTTTATCACCACTTAACATCAGGTGGGGTAGAGTCCTTTGCCTACCTGGCAATATAAAAAAAAACTATCAATGCAGTTGTTATGTCATATATGCTTTTTAGGTACTTTCCTAACCACTTGATTAAAACAGTAAGCAATACTCTCTAATTTTATAGTGAACTAGGACCAAAATATTTATCAAATTCTCTGTTTGTAATGGTAATAATATATTACGTTGTTTTTAATTTTAAATATGTTTATGTACTCTTGTGACTAACTGTATATGTAATGAATGGCTAAAATAGTAGAATGTCTTGTGAGATTTATGTTTTAGAAGCATTTAATAGTATGTGTGATATGTCCTGACAAGGCCATCATCATGATTAAAACTCTATCGTGAGAAAGACTCATTTAAATAGTTAAATTATAGTTGTAAAATATCAGAACTTTGTAAGTGATATGCCGCCAAGTATAACTGTTTTGTATACAGACCTAAGAAAAGAATGTTCTGATTTTTAAGATTGGTTACGGACTTTCCCTGGGCAATGTGCCGTCACAAGTTAAGCTCGAATGAATTCTGCTTAATACTACGTCAGAAACTGAGAATGACTGTAAACGTATCGTTTTTGTTTGCGTGACAGAAATGACGCTTTGTTCTGAGCCTTATAATAATAACTATAAATTTTTATTCTATGTTCTGAGCGCGGCGATTACGTAGGTTCTTAGTTCTTAAACAGTTTGATTTAAATCTAAAGAAAAATTTACTAGAAAAATTCCATGTGGACCAGGCAGCAGACAGGACTCGAACACACACCCTCCCCTATCCGGGCGGATGCACTGGCACTTTGATTTAGCTTGTCCTATTTATTTGAGTCGTGAATAGTTGAGATTTTATCCCTTTCCTATTGACCGATTGAACTGATCAAAATAGCCGCCACTACAAAATAGCGGCAGGGCCGTAGTCAAAGTTTTAAATAGGGCAGCAGTAATTACAGATATTATAAGTAGGGACATATTTTAAGATCTGCCCCCCCACTTAAGATTTGCACCTTTTGCAAATTTTACTGTCTTTGGCGATTTACCTAAAGGGCTTTTTGTAAAACCATCGAATCCCTGATAGTGGCCTTGCCATAACATGTCACACACTTAACATAAATTTTATATATATGTAGATGATATCATTATTTTTAATATGATGATGCAATTTTGATTAAATGGGTTATAAATAAATTGTATAAAACACTTTCATGTTTTCTTATTTACGCCAGTGCCTTCAAACTCAAATCAAAATCATTTATTTAGTCTATGCTGTAACAAGGTCTTGCGTATGTCAACTCTATGCCATCGGTTCGAAAATCTACAGCGGGAGACTTTGCAGTAAGACTTGAGAGCGATCTAGGAAATCGTTCGTGCGACCCCACAGCGATTAAACTTCGATTTTTATGATAATTAATTATATGGTGGTTTTATGTCTTGCAAATATTTTTAATGCTGAACAGTTTAGTGTTTATAACTCAATATATAGCTGAACCATAAAAAAATGTAATATCTTTGAGGCTGAACAGATTTGGATAAAAACATAGTTCATGACTTGGATTGATATGGGAATTGCTATGGGATAGATATGCAAAAACGAAGTAGGGCGTCCGCTGCCTTAGCGGGAGCACGGAGCGGACATCCGTCGAGAGACCTGCTCCGTCCCTGACAAATTCAACCCGTCGTCGCCGGTAACGGACTCCCACCTCTTGCAGCGCCGCTAGTACAACTTCGATCGCGTGGGTGAACAGTCGATAATGGATTATTTTTGCTGATGATACCTAGTATACTATCCAGCCAAAAGACGACGCTCAGAAGACAGTCAATCGAGCGTCCCCGTCGCCCTCCTAGCAATGCTCTATGAAATGATGTCATTTCAATCCCAACGACGCGTTAAAATCCGGCGTTAGAGAGATGTTAAGTTCTCGTAGCGCTGCTCTATGAAATGATATTGTCACAAACACTCGAAACGAAACCGCGAAAGTGCTAGAGATCGAATTTGCCAGATCACCGCGGGTCGCGATAGAGGTCAAGTAATGCGGCTCATTCTAAAATGAGCCTTATGCAGTGCGGCGTAAGGGAGAAAGTGCAACGACATCTGCACTTGTTTACAAGTTATGCGCGTTACCTGCGTAGGTATAAGTAGGTACTTTGTACTCGCGGGTGCTAGCTAATTCTCAATTTAACAAGTACTTTCTAGAATGCGTCGATCAACGTATGTGAAATACAGTGTTTATTGAGTGTTTTGTATTTAACATTGTGTGTAAATTGTGTGGTGAATAAATAACTGTCAAGCGTGAACTGGCATATAATTTCGAACCCCATCCCGACACGTAACAATATGAAGCAGCACCCACCGGAGGGTTCGTCCGCTCTGCGCACCCGCTCATGGCAGCGGACGCCCTAAGACGTATTGCTCCCCGGGTAGGTACTTGGCGCGGGTAATATCAAAAGTAGAATAGTGTCGTAAGTGTACTTTGCCGTTGCCACTCTTAGTGGTCCGTTCGTATCAGCTGAGGCGTAAATGGAACAATTTTGCCATGAACGAAATGATAAAGAGAATTGTTTCTGCCAACGCACACGAGGAGCTACAAGCGTGTGTGACTTTCAATGTGGATCACAAATACGTGGTAACCATAGGATCACGCTTTACGGTCAGAAAGACTGCCCCGTCGTCGGTTTTTAGCGCGCCTAAGTTCATTCGCGTTATTTGATTCGTTCGTAATAATTCGCGTACGTGCTTCGATTGCATCTTCATATCATTTGAAAACTCAGCCATACATCAGTAGGTATGGCTTGCGCAGACGAGGTCCTTATATTCGTAGAGGACAAAAATCCTTGAAACAAATGTCCTCCGAGAACTTGCCACGGACTCAATGCACACTGTGTACGGACATTTGTTGCCAGAAACTTCAGAAAAGCGCACGCTAGCTATGAAAGCAAATATTCTGAGATTATGTTGTGTTGTAGGTATAATAAACAAAGTTTAATAAAAAGATTAGCGCGCGCAACGCGTACTAAAGATCGTGTCACACCCCACAGCGAACTTTACTTTAGCGAGCCTGTGTGCGTTACTGCGCCCAACCTGAGGTTTTTGTCGGGCTATACGCCTATAATTTTGTTCAGTCTGATATTTCGGCGGCGTCCTCAGTTATTCGGGGACTTTTTAAATGCGATACGCGTTAGGCATCATTCACACTGCCGCGGCCGTGCCGGGCTCGACTCTAACGTCGGCCTTAAACATTTCGAATGTTACCGCTCGGTATAGCGTGAATGTATCCATAGCGAAATTCTTCGTTCAAGGTGTCCCTAAAAATGTATGTAATATTAGTTGACCATGCGACGGCTGAAAATCGGACCAGGCATGGACGAGGCCCTGCCCAAACCCAAAACGGTGTAGCGTGAGTCACCCTATTGTAATCGCTCTATTTTGGTGGACACAAAAATCCGAGAACCAAAATCCCCAGTCTGACCAGGCTAGGTTATAAGACCATTAGATCTAAGAAGATGCCAATATTTGCGGGTAATTTGAAACAAAAACTATCATAAACATAATTGGATAAACTTTAATTCTAGTAAATTAATACTTAAAATCTACTTATATTTATCATTAACTCTATCCTCTTTCACAAATGATGTCTACTATACTTGGTTCCATTAGTTGCGGATCTACACATCGTAATTGAGCTGATGATAAAGCATCTTCAAGCAAAGCGTTGAGAAGCCTCTCATCATTGCCCATACATGACAATCTCTGTTGGAGGAAATGTACATCAACTTGCAACTGCTGCAAACCATGCCTTCCAAATGTACGCAGTCTCACACACTCAACTAATGCTTTTAGAGCAACTTTCAATGCGCCATTTGACAAGGCTGCTCTGTCAGCACCTGCCGGGCTAAATACTTCAATTCTTTCGGAAAATATTCTGTTAATTGGTGAGAAAGAAGATGGTGCCCGAGACCATATTGTGCGCCGGCTGGAGTCACTTGATGGCTTTATACTTGTAGGGAATAGTTGTGATGCAGCACTATCTGCACTAGCCAAAGTCTCAACCACTCTCCTGCATACTGCTCGAGGACCTCTTGGTTCCGGGGCACGCAGCCAATCTCTAGCTAGGACAGAAACTCTTAACATTTGGGCTGCTGTTTGTCCAATAAATACTACCTCAGAATCTAATGCTGACTGAGCAGCAGTAGACAAATGCACCATAACACTATTGGTATCTTTATTTTCTACAACAAGACCTGGTGCTGACTCTTCTAAGAGTTTTATCAAATGGCAGTGTAATGTTGTAACACCAGTCTCCTGCATCTCTAAGCACAATTTTGCTAGGATCAATAATAATTCAAATGGAATGTTATTGTTGGATGATTGCAAACACGCCATCTTTTTAACCATATCTGAAAGATTAATCACAGTCTCTGATATTACTTTCCAACAAGAATCAGCTACTGCTTTTGCACACCAAGGTTTCAGACCAAACGACAAGTTATTTTGTAAGAATGCCATTAAATCTAACAGGGAAGCCTGGACCTTCTGCATTAGGTAGACTTGTAAAGAGTTCAATATATCTTTTAAATCACTACTCTCTGATCCCTTGCTAGCTAATGATTGCCTTACTTTCATTAAGCTTTCTTTGAATTGTGTCTGTATAGTCTGATACTGTATGGTGGCCTTATTACTTATGCATTGGACTACAACATTAACAGCCTTTTCAGATACTGTATCACTTGATATTATCTCTTTCATGGCTTGCAGTTTTCTAAAGAACTTATCCAATCCTCTAATTAAAATATCAGTTCCTACATTTTCAGGTCTCTTGGAAACTTCCTCGAAAAGGTGGAACACTTGGAAAAGAATTTTGTCTGCAAATCCCGGTATGTTTGAGGTGTCCTCATCCTGAAACATTTCATGGTAGCAAGATACGATAATTCCTAAATCAGCTAAAAGTGTATTGTTACATTTTTCTACCCATTCTATGATATCAGCACTCTCGAGTATGGAATTCAAAGTTTGCAAATGCTGATCAAGTCTGCTTTCTGCACAATTCAAAAATATATCTCTTAGAGAAGAATCAGTCTCTTGAAGTTGCCTCAGCAGGCCCACACTTTCTGCTAATTCGGATGCTGAAGTTTCTGGATTAAGTAGCCTCTCCCTAAGGGATTTCTTTAAACCATAAATTATTTCTGAACATTCAGTCTGAATACTCTGGAATGATGGTTGATTACCATATTTCTGTAGGACTCTCTGTGCATGTGTGTAATCATGAACAGCATCAACATACCTGCCCTCTAAAATTGCATTATTCAGCTGAGATGGTAGCAAAAATAAAAACTGTAATTTGTCTAAAAGTTGGCGTGTGCCGCAAAGGCGACTCACATTGCTTCCACTTTCTTTTAATGATTCAGATATCTGGGCGCTAAATGAAGTGATTTTATTCATATTTTCACTAAGTTTATTCATTTCTTCCTGCATAATTATAAAATCGGAACGCATTTTTCTCACTGTTTCTGTGGCAGAAATGAATTTATTGTAGTTTTCATACACTAATGTTTGCATTTCAGATTGGAGAAATTGGCTTTGTGTAACAATTTCCGCTTCTTTATCCATCACTTGCTTCAGTGTTGTATGTTTCATGATGCATTCTAAATACATATCAGCATTAAAGTTACTTCCATCTATGTTAAGTGGGTTTTCACCATTTTCAATTGGTTCCGCCATAATATACTCTTCAATTATTGACCAAAAACTTTGACAAAAATTGCGCCTTTTTATAAAACTACTTCAAATTCAGCTAGGGTAAAATAATCATTGATAATCACAATTTTTATCAATCACACATCAAAACAAAAAGAAATGTATATTTATATATTTTTTTAGTTAAGTTCTCCCTTTTCAGGGAAGGCAAAGGGTACAAAGCCCATACAGCCTAGTCTTAAGTTAAATGATTCTGTTTTTCTTTTTACATTACAATGTCAGTGTGACGCATTCTAATGTTTCTTGAAGTGTTTGGCACGAATTATATCGAGCTGGCTTTTTCAATAAGTTCTTCTTTTTCTTCTGTGAGGTAGTCAATACTACAATAAAATTCTCACGTCCACTTGACCGGAATGGCGTATATTTTGACGATTCTACTAATTCTTCAGTTACGCAGACGGTTGTAACACAAAATCACGCCAATTTTATTTCACAATATCCACTATGAACAATTTAAGAATAATTAAATTAAGACGCCAACCGCACTCGATGAAATCCCGCCAAAAACCCCATATTTTTTTTATATACTCCATTTCAGGGAAGGCAAAGGGAACAATGTCCATACAGTTTAGTATTCAGTTTTATTAATCTTATTTTTTTTACATTAAAATGTAGTGTGATGCATTCTAATGTTTCTTAGAGTGTTTGGAACGAAATGTATCTGATATATGATAGGCTTCTGTGTGGTAGTCAACACTACGATAAAGTTCTCACGTCCACTTGTTGCGCAGATGGTTGTAACACAAAATCACACCAATTTTATTTTAAAATATCTACTATGCACGAATTTAAGAATCACGGGACTTCTGGAACCGGGCAGATGTGAAACACTGAGAAGGCAAAGGGTATAATGCCCATATACCTTCTTTTCAGTTTTATTTATGTTCTTTTTTTTATTTTCATTAGAATGTGGGTGTGACACATTGTAATGTTTCTTGGCTTGTTTGGCACGAAATGTAATGTTCTCATATCCACAATATCCACTATGAACTAATTAAATAATAATTAAATTAAGACGCCACGTCACTCGAATAAATCCCTTAAAAAACTCCTGAGGTCTATAAAAAAAATAGCTAATTTGACAACTAAAATAAAGTGAAGTGACGTTGTTTTTCTTTGCACTTCTAAAATTATACAGGGCGCTGCAGACTTATAAGCAGGCTCGGTCCTGGGGCGGAGGGGGTGGTCACAATTATTGTATATTACACACTGTGTATTACGCAATGCATAGAAAGCTGGAACAAATATATTACTGAAAAAAGCTAAATAAAAACAAAATAGCAGGCCTTACCTCTCTTCTCCTAATAACCTTAATCCCAGTTATGGTTTAGAAGATAACAAAGAGATTTGGTGACTCGTTTCTCTGTAGCTATAGGTCAATCTATTCGCAAGTGGAATTCTTTGCCCGCGCACGTGTTACATCCTACCTATGTAGGTACTTTTTAAATAGGACCGCCTACTTATAAAAATAACATTTTCGAAAAGTCTTTTAAACACTAATGTTCATTTTACATTGTCAGATGCAGAGAGCCATCCCGAGCAACTCAGATACAACAGAGGCTCATTGTCTCGTCCTTAAAACATATCAACTAAAGGTGAACGCAGACTTGGCCGCACCGCAGTCTCCGCTGTCCCCGCAGTCATCGCTTTTCGTTAATGGCCTCGCACATCTATCCGCATCACAGTCACTGCAGTCGTTCCCGTTGCCGCACTTGATTTCTTTCATTCAGTTTGTAATATAAATTAAGTGTGAACATGTATTACAGTATGGCTCTTGACGAACAATTTGGTGTCAGTTGTTTAATATTAGAGGAAGAAGAAAAAGAAAAGCCGTGGATGTGATCGAAAGCGCAGACTACGGCGCGTGCGGGGCGACCAAGTCTGCGTTCACTTTAAAAGTTAATGCTCATTCCTACAACCCACCACAGATCGAGCGGGGTGAAGAGGCGAGGTGGCATATCGATCAATGAGGCTGTTTATGAAAATTTACGTCACCAGATGGTGCCACTGTGAGGTCTTTGTATGAAGTTTTTGGCGCCAATTAATCGAATGGGCATAAATTTATCCATAGACTATGAGAACATATGCGATTTGACGGATGAGTAGACCTTTCGTTTCAGTACTGCCACCTGGTGCCCGTTATTCCAGAAAACCCTCATTGACACCGGGATGGCAGCGTTACGACGAGCACTTTCTCACTAAAAGCGGTGTGAAATAATTTTTAACTTTATCTACACATAAAATACTAGTATGCCTGTGCTATCTCCGCGTTCTCCGCTTCCGACCGACACCGTGGAACTTTTTCAAGCGATAGTGGTCTTTATGACTATTGAGATAAAAGTTTAAAATTATTTCACAGAGCTCTCAGTGAGAAAGTGCTCGCCGCATTAGTTGTACAGGCCGGCAAAGTGAAGTTGGTTGGTGTTCTGCATCTTTGCATCTGACCTCTATCACCATTGCCTAACAGTGCCGTTTTTGACCTATTGGGAGGCCCTGGGCATATTAGGATAATGGGGCCCCCTATGTCCCCCGATGGTGATTTAACAGGAACTAGGGACTTTGTATTGGATCTGAGAGGGGCCTAAAGTGCCCACTGGAAAAGAGGGGTATGTTGCCTAATAAGTTTAAAAATAATATATTGAAAACCACCCGTAATACCAAAATATCGTCCACACAAGCTCGTGCCTTAACAAGGGTTAAACATTGAAATCTAAAACAAACTATTAAAAGCAAAATATTTATTTTTTACAACTTCTTACAGTAAATTAGGTATAATAAACTTACCCGAATTATATTTTGTAACAATGTTGTTCTTTGAACTTAGGACTAAGGTTTTTATCAAATTATGTAATATAGAACTGGATTCTGTCTGTAATAATTATAAATGGTTTTAAAACAGTCAAATTATAAGCTTTTTTACCTAACAGAATCGATTCCTATATTATCAAAAGTTTTCAGTTGGCAGTACATAGTCTTTTTAAAATTTGGAAAACTTTTATTCTAACATGATAGATTTGTCTATAGAAATTATATTCCTAGTTACACTTAAAATACATTGCACTACGTTATTCACTTATACAACAAAAATGCAAAAAATACTTTACAACTATGTCTTAAAGATTTTATAAACTCACAGCACTATATCCAATGTAGCAAATTCACTACTATTGGTGGCGGCAAACTTTTTGATGTTTCTGTATGTAAAATAATTACTCCTGCGCAGGTTACCTTGTCTATGGTCGTTGCATTGCTCATGAAGTTTGCCGGCACGTATACCAAGGTTCATTTATTTACTGATTACAAAATACACCTCCAGACACATCTATCGGCCCACTTATCATTATAGTTTTCAACGGTCTGTAGCAAAAATATAATTTAATTAGGTTGGGAATAATTATATATTTAAAAAAAGACACGAAAATGATGGTTAATAAATCAGCGTACAAACTTTCTGCTCAATGTAACTAACATTTATTTTTAGTTATGGACCGTCGAAACTATAGAAGTAGGACAAAACTTAAAATGCTATGTGGGCCGATATATGTTTCGGGAGTATATTCTTAAAGTAAACCTTATTCAAAAACATAGAATCGATTTCTTAAATAAAAAAAAAACATATTTACAATTTACGTTTACAAAATTTTGAAACTGTGAATGTAACGGTACAACGAAAATTTAACTTTCTACGTTTAACGGTTAACACGGCCTTAAAGACCCTTTTTGGCTTTTAGCCAGCATGAAGATTATCAATACGAATGCGCATAACACACCGAGTCAGTGTCAGTCATAATTATGATTTGCTTGCTACACAATTACCGTGTCGAGTCTCAATCACAATATCGTACGATCAAAGTTTGCGGAGAGACAGATAACTCGTAAATTCGCGTTGATAGCTTTGGATTTTTTCCCCTAAATCCATTTTGGGTATCCTTTTTTTCTCGTGTCTCTGGCGACTCGTGGACAATAACACATTTAAATCTCCTTGGAATTAGCAAAAACCTATCAGTATTTTTCGGTATTCGATTTCGAGATAAAAGTATGGTTGTAAAAAAATTACGTATGGTATTCAAACAGTGTAGTATTATCACTTACATAAATGTATCTGCATGCGTTAATAACCGGTCATAATTCTGAAATAGATTGTGCATAAAGATAAATATGATAACAGTCTCTCACAGTACAATAAATGTATTTAAAAATCTTAACCAGAAGAGAGAAGGTAATAATATAAATGTTCATCCTATATGCGTTCTCCTGTAAAATTTAGTTTCGAGCTTCTTACAAGGTTTTATATAGAAATACGGGTTTGTTTTCAAATTTCTTCCATCCCGAGGAAACCCTTATCGGTGTATTCCGAAATATAAACCCGTACGCTGGCCAGCGGTAATGACGTCATGATTTCGACGCCATATTGCACTGGTGTAGTAGTAGTGTTGTCAATATGGCGTCGAAATCATGACGTCATTACCACTGGCCAGCGTACTGGTGTTTGATTCGGAATACACCCAATATCTCTGCAGTCAGTTTGATAACGATTACACTTTCCGTTTGAGCATTTCTAGGATATCTGTGTAGATACACTTCGATCGAACATCGTCCTAATGGTAATAGCTGTAGAGCATAATTTTGCGTTTTAGTCATTCAGTCCGTAGTCTTAGTGGATCTAAGCAGGGTAAGTCCCCGGTTTCGTTGCACTCTGCTTGATGGAACACTTTGAGGGGTACTTCCTTGACTCTAGAGATTGGTTTGTGGGGAGATTTGTTGGGGCTAGGTTTGGGCAAGAAAGTGACTGGTACTAGCTGCTTGCGACCAATTTTGTCGGAGTTTTGACCCTCCGCAGCTTCGAGGGCGGTTTCTACGTCGATCAACGCGTGGTTCCGGCACTGAAGGAGTGCCGCCAGCTGAAATATAGATTTGTTTAATAAATAACGTACAAAGAAATTTGATGACTCATTTCTTTAAAAATGGAATGCTCTGCATGCTGACGTGTTCCCTTTTTCTTACAACCTGGGATCCTTCAAAAGAGGCGTGAAGAAGCAACATGCAGACCGGCAAGGTGAGGATGGCTGGACATCTGGACTTCACCAACACTTAACATCAGGTGGGGTGGAGTCATTTGTCGGACCTATCTATAAAAAAAAAACAGTTTTGAGTCCCGTGTTGGATCCTCCTGTTTTGGTACAGGCCTTCCCTATGGATGGAATAGAGAGATTGGGCCATGGTATATTGTTATTATCATTCCGTAAGATCTTTGTCGATCCCGTATAAAAACGTTTACTGCGCAAGTTTATTTGTCTATGGTCGTTGTTCAAGAAGGTTCTGATGCATTGAGCGGCAGGCGGGAATGCAGTAACAACCCCATGCCAGAGTGTCATCATCATTAGCCTATTAATGTCTCCACTACTGGGGCACAGGCCTTCCCTGTGGATGGAATAGGCAGTTTGGGTCATGACCCACCACGCGGGCCCAGTACGGATTGGTGGATGCTAACGACTGCAGATGCAGCCGGGAACAACGGCTTAACCTACCTTCCGGAGCACGGGGGAGCTCAAGATAATAAATTTTTGGTCACCTATCCAATGACAGACCACTGCAAAAGTTGGTTAACTTCAACGATCGCAGCCGAACGGGCTAAACACTTTCGCCATCGAGCTACTGCGGGGTGCTGGGGTGTGTATATAACTCTTTTTAAGGTTTTCTTCCAATCTTTTTACACTAGCAGCCTAAAGGTGAGCTAGCTATAAGCAGAAGACCTATAAAACAGGACTTAATTCTAATAATGCTTTCAGAATGCTGATGGGGCTGCCGTGGCGCTGCAGCGCGTCAGGTATGTTTGCCGAGGCGCGAATAAATGACTTCTATGCAATAGTGCGCAAAAAAGTTACTTTGGTCATTAAGAGCATTTGTGACAGTCATTAAAGCATCTTGAAGGCTGTGTAGGGGTAGGTAAAATTGAAATAATTCAGAGCTAGCAATTATGCATTTTTTCATTAATGTTTCTTTATGATGTTATCTTGCCGTGGGGTGCCGGCATAGAATATTGCACCTCCCCATCTCTTCCCGTGGGTGTCGTAAAAGGCGACTAAGGGATCGCCAGGAGAACGGGCAGCAGCGTTCTCCTGAGTAACATTACATCTACTGCGATCGCCAACCCGCCTGCCAAGCGTGGTGATTATGGCAATAACCCCCCAAATGAAAAAAGGCATAAACACAACGGCCCCGAGTCACGGCGACCCCGCTATTCCGGCTCACGGGCCTGGTAACGGCGGGGTACGGGGTGCGAAGAATCTCCGGTCGAGATCCGGCCACCAAATAAAACAGACTCTGGCCCTGGTAACACACAACATTCGCACGCTCAGGACTGACGAGAGGATTGCCGAGCTGGAAGAGGAATTGAGCAAGATTCGGTGGGACATTGTAGGGTTGTCAGAAGTCCGAAGACAGGGGGAGGACACGATAACCCTCCGGTCTGGAAACTTGCTCTATCACCGGGAAGGCGACGACTTGTCGCAGGGCGGTGTCGGGTTTATCGTTCGTAAGTCTCTCGCAGCCAACGTGGAGAGGATTGAGAGTGTGTCGAGTCGGGTAGCGTGCCTGATACTCAGAATAACCAAACGGTATTCGCTGAAGGTCATCCAGGTCTACGCGCCGACCTCGACGCACCCCGACGATGAGGTGGAGACTCTCTACGAGGATATCTCGAAAGCCATCCGCTTATTCAAAACTCACTTCACTGTGGTTATGGGAGACTTTAACGCGAAACTAGGCAAAAGGAAAAGCGGTGAGTTGAGAGTAGGGCAATTCGGATTCGGCCAGAGAAACCAGAGAGGGCAGAAGTTGGCTGATTTTTTGGAGAGAGAAAATCTCTATATGATGAATTCCTTCTTCAAAAAGTCGCAACAAAGGAAATGGACCTGGATAAGCCCTAATGGTTCGACACGGAACGAGATAGACTTTATCTTGTCAGACAAACGGCAAATATTCAATTATGTCTCAGTGATCAACAGGGTGAAAACCGGGAGCGATCACCGAATGTTACGAGGCACATTGAATATTCGTGTCAAAGCCGAGCGGTCCCGACTGATGAAGTCTACTCTACGTCCCACACCTGCCGAGTACGAAAATCCCGAGAGCTTTCGACTCGAACTCCAAAATCGCTTCCAATGCCTAGACGAGTGCGAAACGGCGAACGATATGAGCAACAAGTTTGTGGAAACTGTACACACGGTTGGGTCAAAATTTTTCAGGACCCGCCGTGCTCCTAGAACCGGAAAACTCTCTGACCACACTCTTGAGCTCATGGAGTGGAGGAGGGAAATGACGGTGCAGTCTCCAGCCTCCTGGTCTAAGATGAGGCAGCTAAATAGACAGATCTCGAAGTCTGTGCGACGCGATATTCGACTCTACAATACCAAGCGTATTAAAGAGGCGATAGAGCAGAGCCAAGGCTCCAAAGTGTTCGCAAAAGATCTGTCTGCTGGGCAGACTCAGTTGACCAGACTGAAGACCGACAACGGCACTGTCATTTCTTCCAAAGATGAGATCTTGAGCGAGGTCGAGCTGTTCTATGGACAGTTGTATAAAACATCCCAAACTCCTGTTGTCGGCTTGGTCCAAGATCCACGATCCAAGCTAACCCGACACTATACCGAGGACATCCCGGATGTCAGCCTGTACGAGATCAGAATGGCTCTCAGGCAGCTTAAAAACAGTAAAGCACCGGGCGATGACGGAATCACTACGGAGCTTCTGAAGGCGGGCGGTAAGCCGGTCCTCGTGGCCCTTCAGAAGCTATTCGACTCTGTCATCCTCGGGGGCATTGTTCCAGAGGCGTGGACCAGGAGCGTGGTGGTATTGTTCTTCAAGAAAGGCGATAAAACCCGCTTGAAGAACTATCGACCTATCTCGCTCTTGAGCCACGTCTATAAGTTGTTTTCGAGAGTCATTACAAATCGACTTTCGCGCAGGTTCGACGACTTCCAACCTCCCGAACAAGCCGGTTTCCGAAAGGGCTTTAGTACCATGGACCACATACATACGCTGCGTCAGATCATACAGAAGACCGAGGAGTATAATCGGCCTCTGTGTCTAGCGTATGTGGACTATGAGAAGGCCTTCGATTCGGTCGAGACTTGGGCGGTGCTGCAGTCCCTCCAGCGGTGCCAAATTGACTATCGATATATCGAAGTGTTGAAGTGTTTGTATAGAAACGCCACTATGTCAGTCCGAATCCAGGAGAGAAGTACGAGGCCGATTCCATTGCAGAAGGGTGTCAGACAGGGTGACGTAATTTCCCCGAAACTGTTCACCGCTGCATTGGAAGACGTCTTCAAGCTTCTGGATTGGACCGAACTCGGCATCAACATCAACGGCGAATACATCACTCACCTTCGATTTGCAGACGATATCGTGGTTATGGCAGAATCCCTGGAGGACCTTGGCACAATGCTCAATGACCTCAGCAGAGTTTCCCAACGGGTTGGTTTAAGGATGAACATGGATAAAACCAAGGTCATGTTCAATGTCCATGTCACTCCAGCACCAGTATCTGTTGGGAATGCGATTCTCGAAGTTGTCGATCATTACGTCTACCTAGGACAAACAGTCCAGTTGGGCAAATCCAACTTCGAGAAAGAGGTCAACCGACGAATCCAACTCGGATGGGCAGCGTTCGGGAAGCTTAGGCATATCCTCACGGCCAAAATTCCCCAGTGCCTGAAAAGAAAGGTCTATGACCAGTGTGTGTTACCAGTGATAACTTATGGGACTGAGACGTGGTCTCTGAATGTCGGCCTCATGACAAAACTCAAAGTCGCGCAGCGTTCTATGGAGAGGGCTATGCTCGGTGTTTCCCTACGTGATAAGATCCGGAATACGGAGATCCGTAGAAGGACCGGTGTGTACGACATAGCCCGAAGAGTTAGCACGCTGAAGTGGCAATGGGCAGGCCACATCGCTCGAGGACCTGACAACCGTTGGGTAAGAAAGGTCCTCGAGTGGCGACCACGTACCGGACGACGCAGCGTGGGGCGGCCCCCAACACGGTGGACTGACGACATCGTCAAATGTGCTGGGAGCCGCTGGATGCGGATAGCGCAGGACCGTGCATTGTGGCGTTCTATGGGGGAGGCCTATGTCCTGCAGTGGACGGAAAAAGGCTGATGGATGGATGGATATGATGTTATCACGTTAAACTATCGTCCGTAAACCGAAATTACAGACCACATTTTTTTTAAATTAGGTATTTGTAAGCTGTTATAAGTATTATTATTTTTATTTTTCTGTGATTTAAATATTTCCAACACTCAACACCAATTAGCCTAGCCCCAAAGTGAGCATTGAGGCTTGTGTTATGGAATACTAGGGTAACGGATAGAATACCTATACTGATATGTATATAAGTACATATATGTACGGTACAAGCGTACATCTTGCGAAGTCATCACTTTTCATAATTGTGTTAATAATTACAAAATTGCAACAATTCACGTTTACTTACCGATCGCGGCGGGCGCGTACTCATCTATCAAATCATTTATCATAGCATAGTATCAGTTTTTATATAGTAATAAATACACTTCTGGACACATCTATTGGCCCACCTTAGAGTTTAGGTTTCGATGGCCCCTACCGAAATATGATTGCTAGATTGAACAAAAACTGTTGATGCAGTTTTAAATACATTTTTCCATTTTTTTCGATCGTATTGTTTTAAATTTGAATTCAGAATACCATACGACATGGAGCTACGCCTAACAAGTCGGATATGCGCCTTGTTAAACGCAATTGATTTTTGAATAAAAAACATGTTTTATCAAATAAAGGTTTAATTTAATAACGCGTGTTGCCTCCATGGGTATCTACCACAGCTCTCATACGATTATATACATACCGCTCTATGAAATTTTGAGGGATTATCTCCCATTCCTCTTCTATGGCAGTTTTCAACTCCTGCATCGTCTGGGCAACTGGCTGACGAGCCCTAACACGTCTTTTTAGCTCGTCCCACATGTGCTCAATGGGGTTCATGTCTGGGCTTCTGGCTGGCCAGTCCATAACTGTGATGTTCACATCCCGAAGATATTCCCTGACGATGCCGGCCGCATGGGCTCTTGCATTATCATGCATAAAAAGGAAATTTGGGCCCACATAGTCCGCGTATGGTATCACGTGAGGTTCTAAGCACTCAAGAATGTACCTTTCAGCATTTAATGTTGGCAGCCGTGGTCCTGTAACAACCTCAAGTTGAGTTTTGCTGCTCGCGGATATACCGCCCCAGACAGTCCATGAGCCACCGCCATAAGCAACCCTCTCTTCGAAGCAGCATTGTGCGAAACGCTCTCCCTTACGTCGGTAGACCTTCTTCCTTCCATCATTGCCATGCAACGCAATTTTAGACTCATCAGAAAAGAGTACACGGCTCCAATCTTGCTGTGTCCAATTTAAATGACTGCGTGCGAAATGAATGCGCGCTGTTCGGTGGGCTCGCGTTAGTATGGGCCCATTAGCTGGCTTGTGTGGTACCATCAGTGGCGGACTAACAGGGGGGCGGAGGGGGCGGTCCGCCCCGGGCCTCCGATCTTGGGGGGCCCCCAAATGCCTCCGCGTTACCCTGATCAAATCCTAAACAAGACTTTATAAATGTGCTTAGTACCTATATAATTTCATCAAGATCAAAACTACAGTAATCTAGACTTTTTACGCAGTACTAATATTTTTTTAACTTTGCTGAACGCGTCCAATACCCTGGGGGAATTCCCGTCTCTGTAGCGGGTACTTCCTCAGGAATCCCTGAATGAATGAAGTGCAAATAATTTACTCTTGTACGCATAGATTTACATTCACTACATTCTATTTAAGTCTAACAATATTTGCGGTCTCCAAAAATGACTCTGGATACAGGAATCTCCAAACTAAACGCCTTGAATAAGTTCATAAACATCAAGAAACCAGGAAAAATGAAGGTATAAAGAACGATGCCGGGTGAATCAGCTCATGATGCTGGATTATCAATTCAAGAAGAAATATGTCGGTCAATGTATGAATGCATAGACCGCTTTATACAAAAATTTTCGAATTGGGTTATTAAACAAATCAAAAATATTTTCCAAATTATTGAAACAAAGTTTATGCTAGAAACTTCAGATGACGCTCTGGCTGTAGCAGTTGACAATCTGATACAAAGTTATGGTGAATTTGACAAGACTGGTTTTATCGAAATAAACATAATAATCTACATTTTTTTAAAGCTGGGGGCCTCATTCAGCTTTGCCGCCCCGGGCCTCTGACGGGCTTAGTCCGCCACTGGGTACCATATCGCGTTCTTTTAACCTTCTCCGAACAGTTTGAGCGCTCACAGATACTCCGTCGAAGTCGCGAATTTGTTTTTGTATCTCAATGGAGGTAAGGTGACGATTTCTCAAGCTGGTCGTCACGATGAATCGATTTTAGTTGTGACCCGAGATCGTGGCCTTCCTTGGCGACGAACAAAGCCGCCAGTCTCTAGGTACCTTCGATAAACATTTCGGACCGCAGATCGACTTAAATTAAGTTGAGCACTCACGTTTCTTTGGCTGTGTCCGGCCTGAATAAGTGCCACAGCTTGGGCGGCGACTTCAGGTGAAGTATCCATAGATTATTGATAGAACCTCACCTTAATGTTAAGAATAAGTAATGTTTGTTGCAAAACCAAAGATATCAATCACTTTTTCAAGAATTAAATCCAAGTAAACCAATAAAACCAAGTTTTCTTAGTATTCGATTGTTTTATATCAACAAACAGGCTCCAAATTGTCTTTTGTTTCTTTAAATTCTGTGTTCGATATTCAAAAAAAGAAATTGTGAATGTGCCAGGTTCAAAACTGCATAAAAACTTTTTGCTCGACCTAATATAAAATTTTAGCTAGGACCAAACGAAACTGAAAATACAAGGTGGGCCCGCAGCAGGGCCAGCGCGGCCAGCTCGCGGGCCACGTCCCCGCCCTCCGACCCCGAGTATTGTATACCTGCAGGATCTGATGCAGCGGGCGCTGTGCATTGGGCGGCACGCGCGGCAGTGCGGCGGCGAGCTGAGCGGCGGCGGGCGGCAGGCGGGCCCGCAGCAGGGCCAGCGCGGCCAGCTCGCGGGCCACGTCCCCGCCCTCCGACCCCGAGTATTGTATACCTGCAGGATCTGATGCAGCGGGCGCTGTGCATTGGGCGGCACGCGCGGCAGTGCGGCGGCGAGCTGAGCGGCGGCGGGCGGCAGGCGGGCCCGCAGCAGGGCCAGCGCGGCCAGCTCGCGGGCCACGTCCCCGCCCTCCGACCCCGAGTATTGTATACCTGCAGGATCTGATGCAGCGGGCGCTGTGCATTGGGCGGCACGCGCGGCAGTGCGGCGGCGAGCTGAGCGGCGGCGGGCGGCAGGCGGGCCCGCAGCAGGGCCAGCGCGGCCAGCTCGCGGGCCACGTCCCCGCCCTCCGACCCCGAGTATTGTATACCTGCAGGATCTGATGCAGCGGGCGCTGTGCATTGGGCGGCACGCGCGGCAGTGCGGCGGCGAGCTGAGCGGCGGCGGGCGGCAGGCGGGCCCGCAGCAGGGCCAGCGCGGCCAGCTCGCGGGCCACGTCCCCGCCCTCCGACCCCGAGTATTGTATACCTGCAGGATCTGATGCAGCGGGCGCTGTGCATTGGGCGGCACGCGCGGCAGTGCGGCGGCGAGCTGAGCGGCGGCGGGCGGCAGGCGGGCCCGCAGCAGGGCCAGCGCGGCCAGCTCGCGGGCCACGTCCCCGCCCTCCGCCACGCCCTCCGACCCCGAGTCCGACACGTTGGCGTCCAAGCCTACGCCCCTGTGCTCGAGCTCCGCCTCAGGACTAGCCTCGAGCGGAGACCTAGCAAATAACAACATTATTATTATTATATCGTTATCAATATTTTTTTTTATTCTTTATTAAGCCATACACCTTAAAGGTTAAGCCGGCTACATAGCTATAACTTTAATTTATGTGATATAAAATATAAATAATATAAATTCGATAAGGACAATGAAAGAAACTTAAGAATTCTGTCGCTGTTACTACAACTAAAGTTAGAACTAAAACATTGATGTTTAAAAAATAAATCTTGTCAACCACATTTAGTACTATTAATGAGATCAATTCTGTGTGTTTCGTTCTGCGAACACTCCATCAGTATGTGCATCAAATCTTGTTTAGTATTTTGACAACTGTCACAATAGGGATTATTTCTTTTGCCCATTAAAAATTTAAATGCATTCAGTGGAACATTCCCAGAACGAACTCTCAAGCAAAAAACAAGCAACTTACGATTAAAATTACTTTTGTGGAACCACGGGACATGAAGTGGCTCACACACCAGCGTTTTGTACCAGATCCCCTTTTCTCTAGAAATTTGGTCAAATGACGTTTTCCACAAATCGTATATACGTTCTCGAATTTGTCCTAAATAGTCTGAATGATGGGAAGGTACGTCCAGTTCTACACCGTCAGACAAAGCTTGTTTAGCATTTGAGTCAGCCACTTCATTTCCGCCAATTCCTACATGCGAAGGGATCCATTGCATCCTGACTTGAGCACCGTTACGTATTAATTTCCAAATACATTTAATAATGGTGAATCTAATCTACCAAAACAACCCTTACCAACCCTTAACAAATGGTACAACGAGGATGCAGAATCAGTAAGTAGGACAATTTCTTTATAGCCGCAGGACTCAACATAACTTAGTGCTTCCATCATTGCAAGCAGCTCCAAAACCCATAATGGGAATAGATTTATCCTCAACTTTAAATTTAGCACTAAACGTTATACTGTGGTCATAAAAAGAATACCACGAATTAAAATTGCTCTTAGATGCGTCTGTATAAATTTTCTTAACACCTGGATATTTATTACGTAACATCAATTCAACAGCTTTATTGTACACATTTCGACCGGTAAGGTTTTTGGTAGTGGTTATGGGTTTTATATTAATGGTGACTATGTCTTCAAGTGGTAATTCATTTACAAGAAAAGGCAGTTGATATAATGGTGGAGACTTGCATTGAAGTACACAAAGCTTCCTAACATCCTCATACACCTTTACCATTAACGATTCACAATATCTGCGCCAGTATACTTGAAGCGATAACAATTCGGAAAGAACAGAAACTCGTTTGATAAGATAATCATCCAACCTGGACCAAACCTTTAACATATACTTATTACATAAATATTGCCTTCTTAATCCTAATGGTACTATACTCCATTCAGCCCGCATCACATGTATCGGGGTAGTTGTCATTGTCAGAATCATGTATATTTTGAATTTAAATGTATTTTCAAGCTGAAATGAAACGGATTGCTTTGCTTTGTTTTGCATCGCTTTGCTTGTTATTATGATGTTGTATATATGCTCACGCGGGCCTGTGGTGGTAGTGGGGGGGCGGGGGCCGCGGGTGCTGCAGCGGCGCGCGCAGGTGTCGCGCGAGTGCGCACACGTGGCGCCGCCAGTGTCGCGCTATATATACTCACGCGGGCCTGTGGTGGTAGTGGGGGGGCGGGGGCCGCGGGTGCTGCAGCGGCGCGCGCAGGTGTCGCGCGAGCGCACACGTGGCGCCGCCAGTGTCGCGCTATATATACTCACGCGGGCCTGTGGTGGTAGTGGGGGGGCGGGGGCCGCGGGTGCTGCAGCGGCGCGCGCAGGTGTCGCGCGAGTGCGCACACGTGGCGCCGCCAGTGTCGCGCTATATATACTCACGCGGGCCTGTGGTGGTAGTGGGGGGGGCGGGGGCCGCGGGTGCTGCAGCGGCGCGCGCAGGTGTCGCGCGAGCGCACACGTGGCGCCGCCAGTGTCGCGCTATATATACTCACGCGGGCCTGTGGTGGTAGTGGGGGGGGCGGGGGCCGCGGGTGCTGCAGCGGCGCGCGCAGGTGTCGCGCGAGCGCACACGTGGCGCCGCCAGTGTCGCGCTATATATACTCACGCGGGCCTGTGGTGGTAGTGGGGGGGCGGGGGCCGCGGGTGCTGCAGCGGCGCGCGCAGGTGTCGCGCGAGTGCGCACACGTGGCGCCGCCAGTGTCGCGCTATATATACTCACGCGGGCCTGTGGTGGTAGTGGGGGGGGCGGGGGCCGCGGGTGCTGCAGCGGCGCGCGCAGGTGTCGCGCGAGTGCGCACACGTGGCGCCGCCAGTGTCGCGCTATATATACTCACGCGGGCCTGTGGTGGTAGTGGGGGGGCGGGGGCCGCGGGTGCTGCAGCGGCGCGCGCAGGTGTCGCGCGAGTGCGCACACGTGGCGCCGCCAGTGTCGCGCTATATATACTCACGCGGGCCTGTGGTGGTAGTGGGGGGGCGGGGGCCGCGGGTGCTGCAGCGGCGCGCGCAGGTGTCGCGCGAGTGCGCACACGTGGCGCCGCCAGTGTCGCGCTATATATACTCACGCGGGCCTGTGGTGGTAGTGGGGGGGGCGGGGGCCGCGGGTGCTGCAGCGGCGCGCGCAGGTGTCGCGCGAGCGCACACGTGGCGCCGCCAGTGTCGCGCTATATATACTCACGCGGGCCTGTGGTGGTAGTGGGGGGGGCGGGGGCCGCGGGTGCTGCAGCGGCGCGCGCAGGTGTCGCGCGAGTGCGCACACGTGGCGCCGCCAGTGTCGCGCTATATATACTCACGCGGGCCTGTGGTGGTAGTGGGGGGGGCGGGGGCCGCGGGTGCTGCAGCGGCGCGCGCAGGTGTCGCGCGAGCGCACACGTGGCGCCGCCAGTGTCGCGCTATATATACTCACGCGGGCCTGTGGTGGTAGTGGGGGGGGCGGGGGCCGCGGGTGCTGCAGCGGCGCGCGCAGGTGTCGCGCGAGCGCACACGTGGCGCCGCCAGTGTCGCGCTATATATACTCACGCGGGCCTGTGGTGGTAGTGGGGGGGCGGGGGCCGCGGGTGCTGCAGCGGCGCGCGCAGGTGTCGCGCGAGTGCGCACACGTGGCGCCGCCAGTGTCGCGCTATATATACTCACGCGGGCCTGTGGTGGTAGTGGGGGGGGCGGGGGCCGCGGGTGCTGCAGCGGCGCGCGCAGGTGTCGCGCGAGTGCGCACACGTGGCGCCGCCAGTGTCGCGCTATATATACTCACGCGGGCCTGTGGTGGTAGTGGGGGGGCGGGGGCCGCGGGTGCTGCAGCGGCGCGCGCAGGTGTCGCGCGAGTGCGCACACGTGGCGCCGCCAGTGTCGCGCTATATATACTCACGCGGGCCTGTGGTGGTAGTGGGGGGGCGGGGGCCGCGGGTGCTGCAGCGGCGCGCGCAGGTGTCGCGCGAGTGCGCACACGTGGCGCCGCCAGTGTCGCGCTATATATACTCACGCGGGCCTGTGGTGGTAGTGGGGGGGGCGGGGGCCGCGGGTGCTGCAGCGGCGCGCGCAGGAGTCGCGCGAGTGCGCACACGTGGCGCCGCCAGTGTCGCGCTATATATACTCACGCGGGCCTGTGGTGGTAGTGGGGGGGGCGGGGGCCGCGGGTGCTGCAGCGGCGCGCGCAGGTGTCGCGCGAGTGCGCACACGTGGCGCCGCCAGTGTCGCGCTATATATACTCACGCGGGCCTGTGGTGGTAGTGGGGGGGCGGGGGCCGCGGGTGCTGCAGCGGCGCGCGCAGGTGTCGCGCGAGTGCGCACACGTGGCGCCGCCAGTGTCGCGCTATATATACTCACGCGGGCCTGTGGTGGTAGTGGGGGGGGCGGGGGCCGCGGGTGCTGCAGCGGCGCGCGCAGGTGTCGCGCGAGTGCGCACACGTGGCGCCGCCAGTGTCGCGCTATATATACTCACGCGGGCCTGTGGTGGTAGTGGGGGGGCGGGGGCCGCGGGTGCTGCAGCGGCGCGCGCAGGTGTCGCGCGAGCGCACACACGTGGCCCGCGCTTATGGGCAACGGACGCATCAACGCTGACAACACCGCGCCGGGCTCCGCGTCTATCACTACACAATCAAAACTTCAAACTTAAACCTCTAAACTTTTTGGCGGGATCGGGAAGCGTCACTTTAGCAGTTTTGTTTTTCTTGTTAAAAATTGTGTTGTGGCGGATGTTAGTGTCTAATAATGGTGGATTATTAACCACTAAGTGTTCGGGAACATGTACAAGTGTTGGCAAGTGAAACAAAATAGCACTACACTAGCAAGACACTTTCGTCTTTCGACGTTCCCTCAAGAAGTCCACGGGGAGGTTCCAGTAAATCCCCACACTTTTACTGAAACATGGGGAAAGGGGGATTGACTTGACTGCCACTTACTTTGATTTGACTTATTACTTTGACCACGAGTGCTATAGTATTTGTATACCTACATTTAACACTTGACATTGGCTAAATGCACAAGCCGTGCGAAGCCATTTAGGAAAAAAAAATACACCTCCTTACAAAACGTAAACTGAAATTAAACCTGGGCTAAAACTAATGCTGTCATTTTTGGTTTGTTAAAAAGAAGACAGACAATATAAAGCTATTAAAACGGAAGGAGGAAACTTATCAAAGTTTACTCACATATGTGCCTTAAGGAGATGAGCATAGAGACTAAAATGAAGTGTATATAAGGCAAGGAGGGACCGTCCGCAAATATGAAGCCCCACAAGTGAGGGATCTCGCCACGCGCGAACTCCCGCCCGAACAATAATCGCAGCCACCGTCTGTAACAAGCAAGTTGGTGAACAATTAAAACATCATCTTACAAAAGAGATGATTACGTGGTCAAGTCTTTGATTATATATATGAGAGAATATAAAAAAAATACATTCTAAACAAAGTTATGTCCTAATAACACGGGTGTAAAAAAATCCTGTAGGCGCATAAAAAAGCTGTAGTTTTTTTAAGGCACTACAATATGCATACTTCCGTATATATAGGGATGCAAAGTCTTTTGATATATCGATATTTATATCGAAGTCAGGAAAATATCGATATCCGATATATCGACGATTTTAACTCGATATTATCGATATATCGATATTTTTTTGCTTTTTTGCTTTGTATTAAGTTTGCAAAGCAAAAACCTAAAATTAAGGAAGCAAAGGTTTCCAAAATATCGATATTTATAATGTGGGCAGGTAAATATCGATATCCGATCCGATATATCAGCCATTCCAACATTTCCAACACGATGTTTATAGATATATTTTCTATGTTTTTATAGCGCTATAAGAAGTATCAAATCAAAAGCAATTTCGAATCGAAGATATTTATTTTGTTTAAAATGTTAAAACATCAGGGGCGTGCTCATGGCTTCAGAAAGGGTAAGCCCAAAGCTTTCAAAATTACTATACCTATCTTTATTTTACTTTCTTGACTTGGCGAGCTTAAAAAAAATACTTTTTGTATAAGAATCTTAAAGGAGAATGCTCATGGATGTATGGACCGCCGTACAATGGTTGCATCAATACCAAACAAATGTTAAATGATCGTTTAATATTCAAATTAGTATGACAAATTGGAATTTTGAAAATAAAAACAGGGGTTTTAATGTTATTGTAAAAAATGTGACATAACCTCAAATCCTTAATAACTCCTATTTAAAGTTGGTTTACAGCTATTTTGGGTACTTTTTTATTCTGTTATTTTTGATCAACTTGAGTCTTTCACTGTTTTTCCAACCTACTGCATAGATTTTCATGACAACACAGATTTCAGTGATGGCAGATTTACGTATAGGTAAATAAAAACATTAATATAGGACACTTTTTATTAGATTACATATATTAATTGTACACATTATATTTGAATTACCAGTATATTTCAAATCAACATAATCTTCATAGAAAAAATAATCTAAATAAGGCGCCAGAGCAGTAACATCATTGTAACGACCCCAACTTAAAAACTGAACTACAGTCATTATGTGGTCCTAACAGCCCACAGGTTGTTCACCAAGGAGACAGCTGCAATAATAACCTTTTATAGCCTCTAATATGTCTGCCAAAGCAGCATCTCTACTGATAAGTAAATATGAGTTATATGTATGCTGCTTAAGTGTCAGGATTTAATCCTACCTCTTAATAAATAATTATTTAGACCTAAAACAAGAGGAATATCATCTACAAACAAACAAATTCAAACAATTTGTAGCTTTTGTCTTACAATGTTCTTATGAAGCTCCTGGATTATTGAAAAGAGTGGCCAATCTTTCGTTGTTATCAGCAGTTCTTAATTTAACTAAATAAATACAAAAGGCTATAGAAGCGTTTGGCACTTGATCTGCTAGATTGGTATACAGTTGAGCAAATTATAAAACTGTTCAGAGTTCATAACAAGTCAATAATGACATAAATGAGGAGACATAATTGAAACATTAGAAAAACCTAATTAGTAATTGGCTGATCGCTGTATCATAATCATTATATTATCAAACTGTGTGCCAGTAAAATCTCTTAATTAATTCAAATTCATTCATTTAAAAATTCATTCCATGAACCATAATTCAAAAAGTGATGACAAACACATGCACCAGCTGGTATGCACAATTTATTATTATACAATAAGAGATCCCTGATGGTAGATGAAATAAGTAGACATTCAGGCTCTAAACAATTTGCAAATACACAGGATACATGTATGATGATGATGATACAATTTTTAGAGTCACTTATTGAACTGCTTCTAGTCTTGGTTGTGGCAGAGGAGGTGGCACAAGTATAGAATGATTGCCACTTAATGTAGTATCTACAAGAGTAAGGCGACTTGAGTCATGTTGTTGTTGCCTTTGTACTTGTTCAATCTCCAACATGCAGCACATACATGTTCCATTCTTGAGATCTAAAAAGATAACATTAATAAAAAATAAATAATTAATATGGAAAATTCCTTTCTGTTTATTTTAAGGAATTTCTGTATTCTCTCATCATCTATTACCTGTCTAGTGATAACAAAACAAATAAAATAAAATAAAATCTAAATGTTACCATGACTACTACAAACATCTTAGTTCTGGATTTGTAATTAAGTATGATATGCAATAATAATACACAGTAATAATAGTTTTCTCATAAGATTGTGATAGTAAATGATTCCTAACCTAAGTATCTAGAACTGTTATTACTTTTTTAAGAAGTCAAACAAAACAGTTAATATATATGTCGTACAGTTAGTTGCACATGACATTAGACAAACAATATTAGCTCACCTGAGTAGGATTTATCCATGACTGTAATATGTTGAGGGCTAAACTGTTCTTCTACAAAAAAAAATTAAGTATCACCTCTTGGGCCCTGGAAATACAGTTTTACAATACACTGGTTTAGCCAGTCAAATAGTCTAATCGTCATCGATTCCTCATTTGTAGTAGAATGCGTGAGTAGAGAACACTACAAACACACATACGGTAAATAAACGTCCTGTCGTGAATGCACAATTTTTCCTGAAAACGTCTTGCCTGTCTTAACAACTCAGACAAAAAACGTTTCATACGTTCACACGCAATCATTATCACTTCACAATTTATGTAAAAAACTCAATCAACACAAAAATATGAGTACTAACAACAATTGACAATTCTCCAATCATTTGCAATAGGGTAGGGTGGTGATGATCTGAAATTGAATATACGAATAATCGATGGAATTAAAGAAAAATGTTTTTGTATATAAACGATTTTACGCAATGAATAGATCTTTTCAGATACAAATAAATCCAGATTCAATTAATTAATAAACAGCATAGAAATAAATATAATTACTAGTTATTACTTAGTTAATGATGAAATCGACAGTTAGGTGAGCGCCTTCTATAAAAACGATTAAAGATTTTCGCGGAATTAACCTTCTTTAACATTATTAATACGTGTCGAATTTTTAAACTTAGATTCGAATACCCCGGCTACACGTTCCGTCTTACCTAAGAGCATGCCTGCACAGATTAACTAGCCTCTCTTTGTCGTCATTGTCGTCCGTCCCTCTCTAACTTAGATACTTTTATGGACGTAGAACAGGACGCGGCACAAGCTAATGTACAATCATTGTATTTTGCGTACAAGAATAAGGCTTTTTGACTACGTAGGCAAGACAAAGCGCTGGGTAAGCACGTGCCTCTTTTTGTTCGACTACCTACATGCTCGACATTTTATCATTTTCATCTCTATGCTTAACACGTTACATCCAGTAAGTAGACACTACATACAGCAAGAGACGTGATAGGAAAGTGTCGAGTTAAGCCAAGCGACGGGTTTCTGACTATGACGTATTAAGCATAGAGACGAAATAGATAAATAACGAGTTGTCATCGCAACAGTTAAGACAATAAAAACGTAAAATCACTATTAAACAATAATTAGTAACACGTGATTTATTTGCTTTTTGATGCCCCACTCATCGGTAACAAAAACAACAATCGATTATAATGTATAACTAATAGGGTACTATGGCATCACTATTTTTACGATAAATAAACAAACGTCAGATATCCGGATCAAAATATAAACAGTACTATGACTAATATTATTTTAAAAATTATTCCCTGTTCAAAATAGCCATTCTGATAGACCATCGTACGTATAAATTAAAGAAAATAATTATCATAATAATTTTATCTTGAGGCATGAGACAAAACTGTACCAAATATGGGCATTCTCCTTTATTTTGTGTTAGATTACAATGATATTAAATTTCAATTAATCAGTAGTTGACAATTATCTAGAAAGAGAGGCAAGGATTTTATTTAAGTACATGAGTTACCATTAGGTATACGATTATACCTATATACGTTGGTGTCGATTCTGGCATGATTATCTAAACTTAAAACTAAATTTAACATCAGTCTCTCCTTTTCATTCTGTATAGAGAATGACAAGGATACACTGTTGTCAAATTTAATTTTAGGCTTAGAGAATCATGCCAGAATCCACACCAGTTTAGTATATTTCTTGGGGTTCAAGATTTTTTAAATACATCTATAAGCTCTTGCGATTTCAAAGCAATAGTTATTTCGATATTATTCACTTTAGATAGTCATAGCAGGTAAATTAATCGATATTATCGATATCAGTGAATTTTAAATATCGATATTTTGGTCTCGATACTATCGATATTATCGATATTCCGATATATCGTTGCAACCCTACGTATATATTACCAGAGAGAAACTGAATAAATCTAAAAGAAATAATATGCAAAACCACATCTACGTAAATTTTTCTTTTGTCATACAAAAAACAGTTTCCACTGCTATTTTTTTAAGAATAAATGAATACCTTTTAATGAACATACTACCACAGATTTCTTTTATACAATATACTTGGATAATGATCAAGATACATGAGAAACCTTTTTAATCTAAAGAAAATGTTACTAGAAAAAATCCACGCGGACCAGGCAGCAGACGGGTCTCAAACCCGTACCCTCCGCTATCCGGGCGGATGCACTGACCATTATGCTACCACGGCCTTGATGGACGTGTCGAATTTTCTCCAGCATTTCTTAGATTGCAAGGCAGCGCCATCTCTTTACATTGTGGGTAACCCACAATGACCAATGAATACATTTGCACCGTCTGCTGCCTGGACCGCGTGGATTTTTTCTAGTAAAATTGTCTCTAGATTTATATGTGAAGAATAAAAATGTGACCTTTTTAATTGTTTAAAAACGTTTTAATAAATGAAAAAAAAAATAAGCAAAAGTTATGTCTATGTGTGACGAATTATTGTGTCACTTATACAGTTTACCAACGTATCCGTAGTTTTTAGATCTAGCAACATTCGATTTACTACCAAGCAAGGTTGCAAATTATCAAGATAATTATTTTCTCTAGTAGTTATCACATAATTATCCAACTATCAAATCAAATTACATATATATATATATATATATATAAGAAAGATTTTTTTCGATTTTAAAACATTACTTTTATCCGAGTGTCTAGACTACTATTGTTAAAAAAAACTATTAATTTTGATCTGTGTACGACGTAATTATTGTAATTTTTGACTGCAATTACTAATGTTTTAGTTAAATATAATGCAATTTTAAATTTATTCATATACTTTTTTTGTAAAGTTAGAATTAAAAGTTTTTTTTAATTATAATTATTTTAGATAATTATCTATAATATTTTCAAATAAAAAAAAATCTTATGTTCATTATTATTATAATTAATAAAATCACATACATAATTATTTTTATTTCTAATTTTTAGCTAATAAATTCAATGAGATATCATCCTCATCATCTGACACTGTATTAACGTTTTCTGTGTCGCCTGGTTATGGTTGTGCGGTTTCTGTTTCAGTCACTTCATCGCCACCTGCAACCCAGCTCGAATCTAAGAATTTTGATATTTACCGATGAAAAGAAAGTCCTCCTTTAGGTGGATTTGATACTTGAATCCTAACTTTTCAGTAATTACAGCATAAGTAGCCATATTTGAAGCGTTTATCACTATACTCTCTCACCAAGGGTTCGCGAGCAACTAAACGACGCGATCGCAAGTACAGGTCAAGTTATGAGCATTTGCTCATAACTGTGGCGCGCCTGCCCCGCCCACAAGGCCCTTCTAACCGCTTTGTGTGTTTTGTGGTGTTAAGCATAAAATATAGTGTATTTTACATGTACTTACTGAAAGTAAGATACTCCCACTGAAACATTGCTTGTTTGGTAGTTATTTTTGCAACTTTTGTATGGACATTGTGTCATCGTGACGCGTGTTTACATTGGATGTGTATTAACCGAACTAATCTATACTTAATATTATAAAGCTGCAGAGTTTGTTTGTTTGTTTGAACGCGCTAATCTCTGGAACTACTGGTCCGATTTGAATGATTCTTTCAGTGTTGGGTAGTTCATTTATCGAGGGAGGCTATAGGCTATATTTATTTTTTCAAAATTAGGGATCCGTAATAAAATTGCTATTTTGTAACACAAGGTGTAAAATCGAAAACCTACTTTTGCGTGCGCTGCAAAAACTATTGACAATAGAACAAAATGATGTACTATGGGTTTGTAGATCCCATTAAGACCTACAAAAAAGTCCGCGAGAACATATATCTAGCTATCATGGTTTAATCACAATAACCGATTCTGTGTTCAAAATAATTATTAAATCGTCTGAAGAAAAAAAAACTACGTTAAATATGTATCGTAATATTAAAAACACAAACAACTCTTAATTTTTAGCCCTCTACCACCCATATTTTTATGGCGATACGAAGTTCGCTGGGTCAGCTAGTTGAGAATAAGATCTCACTAGGTGAAGCTATATTTACCGGGACGGATTTTAAGTGCTGACCTGCTATCTATAGTATTGTTGATCGAAGTTAGACAGTCATGACAGTCAATTGGTTTTACCTGAAAGGTGCCTCGCATGAAAAATGGACGCGCTTAAATAAACTACATTGAGAAAAGATCACTTACATTCCAAACAATTCCATTGTAATATTGCAGGCGGCCAGATGCGACGCCACCTCGTGGTCTAAAGGGATTAAATACTCTTCTCTCACTTGGTCCAAATATCTTATTACTTCGTTAGGATTCTGGAACCAATATTATGAAATTAGTAATATCACGGGATCTGGATATGTAAATAACAAACGTATATTTTTTTTTTCATTTTTTTATGTTATTTAATCAATCAAATGAATGGACAAAATGCCCCCAATCAAAATTGACATTTATTTTAAGTAAGTTAAGGTTAAAATCGTTTAGAAAACAAGGACAAAATTGTTGTATGAGGTCAAGTGTTATAGCGCGATTATACTTGGTCGTTAGCCCGAATACTGCATTAGTGTCAAAAATCAAGTACCGTACACCAAAGTACCGCACTCGCAACACACCTCTTTTGCGTGTTCCACTGCACCACAGCAATTATTCTTCGAACTCTGTACTCACACGAATTGTCAGGACACACAATACATGTTTTCACAATATTGATATTTTCGCAAACACAAAAACTAAATTCAAACATGAAATAAAAAATAGACTACAGGAAAAAGAATCAAAAGGGTACTTAAATTTATTTATATTTAAATTGCATATGTATCGGATATTATATGAATAAACGGAACAGAAAAAAGTATTCATTATACCTTATTAGTCTTACACTAGCAAACCAGTGAACCAAATGTTCACCAAAACCTGATTTCTCGAAAACCGGAAGTGCTACGTTACTCAAATCCGGTTTGTAGTCTTATCAGACTATTCTTAACTTATACCTTAAATATTCTCTTTATCTATTTCTTACGGTTTGGCCGCTGAAACAGCACTACAGACAGACGGACTTGTCTAATAGATAAGAGATACTTAGTATAATTATGTATATTATTATGTGTAAATATTACATTTTATTTATGAGATTTATACCTACTACTTTTATAAGATTACATTACGATTATATGCGGATGGATTGTTTGATGATCGCTTGTTAAGGATAGAAGTACCAATAATAAGTCACCTATTGTTAATCTAGTTAAGGAAAACCTGTCATTGGCCATACTTCGCCGCCCAACCGCGGCAAACTAATCAGAAACCAAGCAAATATTTTAATATTTTATACCAAAATGCCAGAGGACTTCGGACGAAGACTGCACAATGTTTATCACTATTTGAGTCATCAGGTTCTGATTTATTCGCTATTAGTGAAACTGGGCTAAGTGAAGCTATTGAAAACGCAGAATTTGTGCTACCTGGGTACCAAACATTAAGATGCGATCGAGCTGATGGCCGGAAGCAAGGAGGGGTACTTTTAGTGGCCACACCGAGGTTTGAATTGCGTCGAGTGTGTGAGTGCCAGGTGATGTTGATATAGATAATCAAAGTTTTGAATTGATTTGTGCTACTGTTTATATAAAAAAACGTTTTTTGTTTACTTGCTGTGTAGTGTATATTCCACCGCAGAGTGACGAGAATGAATATATGTTATTGTTTAGCATATTAGAAAATATCTGTATTAAATATAAGGGTAATTTGGTTATATTAGGAGACTTTAATTTGTATTCATGCAACATTAATATTTTAAACTATTACGAATACTTTTTGGCCTTCTGTGAGTTCATTCAATATAACACGGTCCCAAACTGCAATAATAGACAATTGGACCTCGTGCTGAGCGCGAGCGGAGGCGTGTCTGTGAGCGCAGCAGATGAGGGCCTGCAACCCGTGGACGCATATCACCCCCCGCTGGCCGTGCACGTGGAGCTGGGCGCATTACCGCCCGCGCCCGCGCCCGTACCTACCACTCCTCCGCGATACACCCATTCCCTGAGTACTCATAATTCATGGAACTTCAATAAAGCCGATTTTAATTTATTATATTCTTTATTAACAGAGGCAGACTGGAGTGATCTGTATGATAGACAAGATCCGGATGTAGTTTTAAATTTATTTTATGATAAGATATATGAAATTTTTGACAAATGTGTTCCTCATAAAAAAAATCATTCAAACAAATGTGATAGCAGGTTTATTTACCCGGTGTGGTACACGGCTGAAATTATTAAAAATATAAAGTTGAAATACCGATTGCATAAAAAATATAAGTCCAGTAAATTGCGCGGTGATTATGAAAAGTTTTCACAATGTAGAGCGAAAGTTAAAATTGAAACTGCATTAGCTCATGATCAGTACCGCGACCGCGTACAGCAACACTTAGTGAGGGACCCGCGAGCTTTTTGGCAATACATAAAGGAAAGGGAATTCGAATAATCGTAGATTGATTAAAAACGGGAGGGTACTGACGGAAAACGAATGTGCCAATGAGTTTGCTCGGTTCTTCCGTTCTGTATACAATCCAGAGCCTCCCGTGCTAAGTGTGGAGGCGGCGAGTGCAAATTCTGAAGCAGGCGCAGCGACCGGTGCCTGGGCGCACCTGACTTGCGTGACTCCCGCGGAAGTGCAACACGCACTCGCGCGCTTGCCCCCTAAACGTTCAGCAGGGCCCGATGGCATTCCTTCGTTAATTTTTAGAGATTGCAGAGCAGTGTTAGTGGAACCATTATTACATATATTCAACTTATGTATCAAAAATGCAAAGTGTCCTGATCGCTGGAAACTCACAAGGGTAGTACCGGTGCCAAAAGGTAGTGGAGGATCGGCGGCTAGTGATTACAGACCAGTGGCGGTTTATGCACTCCCGCTAAAGTATTCGAGTCGACTATTCATAGTAGCCTGTATCCGAAAATAAGTGCTTTGTTGTCAGACGCACAGCACGGTTTCCGTCCTGGGCGGGGGACAACAGGGAACTTGTTGAATCTTATGGCACACATAGTACCGACAGTAGATGCCGGTCACCAAGTTGATGTTGCCTACTTTGATTTTAGGAAGGCCTTTGATACTGTTGATAATGATGTCCTTCTATCAAAGTTGGCTAACGTAGGTTGCACACCGCACACGTTGTCATTTTTCGCCTCGTATCTACGAGACCGATGCCAATACGTGGATTGCAGCGGCAGGCTATCCGAACCCTATTTTACAAGATCAGGTGTAAGTCAAGGCAGTAATTTAGGACCTCTGCTATTTATTTTAATGATCAACGACTTGCCGAAAGTAGTCAAGATGTCTACACCATTGTTATTTGCTGATGACCTAAAATTAGTTCGCACAATAAAGGGATCCGGTCATGACTCTTTGCAACAGGATATAGATAGGGTAGTAGAGTGGAGTTTTAAAAATAAATTGTACTTCAACGTGGACAAATGTTCCGTATTATCGTTTAGTCGAGCGCGTAGCCCGAGTCACCATCAGTACTACATGGACAGCATGCCACTGAAACGTGTATCCGAAGTGAAGGACTTAGGCGTGCGCTTCACTACCGATGTGAATTTTCGACAGCATATCGTAGAAGTTTGTAAGAAAGCTTACCGGAATTTGGGCTTAGTTTTACGTCAAGCGAACGAATTCACAAATCTCAGTGCAATAAAAGCTTTATACGAATCACTCGTAAAAAGCCATTTAGAATGCAATGCTTTAGTCTGGTCGCCACAAGAAGCGAAATATAAATTAATGTTAGAACGCATCCAGAACAAATTCTTGAGATTTATTTTTTTGAAGCAGTATGGTGTGTATCCAGGCTTTCCACTTTTGTACCCTACTCTGTTCACACTAGGCATGACGGGCCATTTTAAATTAGAAGTAAGGAGGGAAGTGCCTCTGGCCACTTATTTATTCAAAGTGATTCGTGGTAAACTAAGGAACCCAAAGATTCTTCACACAGTTCAGTTGTGTGTGCCCAATGAGTACGCGAGGCGACGGAGGCAGCCTCCCCTGTTGTGTGTGCCGCGCGCGCGCACTAACCTGCAGCACTGCGCTCCTCTCACGCACGCACTCAACACGCTGTCTCTGCACATTGACTTGTTTCAATGCACATTGAATGAATTCACACAGGCCGCTTATTGTATACTATCATAGAAATGTTTATTTTATTTTCGTGTTTGTGTTTTATTGACGTGACAACGTCTTAAATTAGGTTGCGGCTGGGAGTCACTTATGAAAAAGTGTAACGCTCGGTAACGTTACGATGAGTCTCTCGTGTTAAGTTTAAGTTTACATGTACAATGTTTTAGTAAACAAAATATATTTCTATAGTTAAAATTTGTGCAATTCTTATTTTCATTCAATTCCTTGTTCCTATTGTGCAATTTAATTATATTCATATCAATAAATATTCTACCGAGAAAAAGACGTTGTCACGTAAAATCTTCGCCCGTAAAACCGACTTTACAGGCAACCATTTTTTTATTTTTTTATTTTTAGTTTTGTACAATAATTGGATGTATCGTAACTGCTCTATTGTATTAGGTTATACCTGTAATGATAGATGTAAGTGATTATTAAATAAATAAATAAATAAATAAATAAAATAAATAAACTTTTAGAAATGTACCTACTGTAAATTTTGTACCGGAAAAACGGTGTTGGTTTTCTTAGAAAATAAATAAATAAATACGAGTGCCAATGGAATTCGGGTAAACGACTAAATGTAAATGATCGGAGTCGAGTATGCACGTATTCGGGTAGATTTCCTTTAGTTTACCCGTCACCGTCTTCCAGCCCATATACCAGTGTAAATATTGGTTCGGGTGCCCGAATCCGAGTTATGTCTAACTAACGACCAAATGTAATTGCGCCATTATATTGGATATTTAATATACTAACGTGCGCACTTTTGGAAGTTGGTAATCTGCCACTTGGCGTAGGAACCACCTCTCCTGTTGTATAAAATCTTTCTAGTCCTTTCATCACAGCGTTAAAAAGCATGCTGGAAGAAATTTCATTCCTTATAGATGTTATTAATAGGATAATCAAGATTCAATACATGTTAATAATGTTGAAAATGGCTTACTAGCTATCGTGTTCGAGGAAGTCGTCGTCCAGTACACATTCTAACGTATTGCTGCAACATAAGACAATCTTTATTCTAAAAATAGCAAAAATTAAATTACAATTTTACGAATCTGTGCTATTGTTGTTTCTGTGTTATTGTTGTATCTGTGTTATTGTTGTATCTGTGTTATTGTTGTATCTGTGCTATTGTTGTATCTGTGCTATTATTGTATATGTGGTATTAGAGAGGGTTTCATGTGACCACATGTTTGCCAATTTTATTAAGCTACGAAAAGCTGTTATTAACCTCATGCCTGCGCATTTCACATAGCTATTTGTGTTTGCTATGCGTACACTTGACATCAGTCATTCCATGTCACTTCCTGTAAAGTATGAAAAGGACAATCTGCTGTCAAAATGTCAAATAACAAACACGAATATCCATGTGCAGTGCTGGCATTACAAGTAGTCAATATTTTGGATTTAACGCTGTTGGTTTACTTAAATAAATAGTTTAGTAGAGGGAACTTTCGTTGGGGTGCTTTGACAGTAACTTACCCGAGGTCCTTTGGCGCAAACCGCCTGTCTTGAAACAGTTCGAACAGTATGGGCGCCACGATCTCATGCATGCCTTGTCTGTATCCTATGTGAGGATGTGATCGCGCCCAGAAGAATAAAACGCGCACCTTGATTTTGAAAACGATTATTAAAACAGTTTTCTTTGGTTTGTTTAAAAATAATTTTATGGAAACCTGCAATCATATTTGTTAAACTTCCCATACGCGCCGTAATTCCATAACCCACACTCCTACGCCCAAGGTCCGACAGCGTCATCAGCCTATTGATGTCCTCAGTACTGGGGCACAGGCCTTCCCTACGGATGACAAAGGGAGATTGGGCCATGAGCCACCACGAAGGCCCAGTGCGGATGAAATCTAGACCAGACTTGTCTCCAAATTTTACAACAAAGTACACAAGCGGTGCATAAAGTTGATCTAATAAAAATCACAAATTGATTCTCAAATCAGAAATGATACTGTTCAATAATAATATTAAAATGAACAAATCGGCTATGTTCAAAAACCAGAATATTTGTGAAAAAATGGCCATACGAGTTAGTTACAAAATAAGGTGTCAAAATTATAAATACAATCAACTTACCAAAGTGTCTTGAACATCTTTGTCTCTGAAGTAGAGTTCGTCAGGAAATGTCCTGACAACGTCCTGCATGATTACCGCTTTAAGCTCGTTATCACAGAAATGTTGCTTCCAAACACTCTGCAACATTGAATGATTTTTACAAGACATATCCCACAGATTAGAACATCTTGCTGTGCAAACTAACAGATAATCAAATTGCAAGTATTATAACGAATACACAGCTAGAACACAGTGTATGTATGTAACCCAACGATATTAAAAACCTTATAATAGGTCATGACTAGGTTAAGGTTACCCAATGGTATTATTTAAAAATCGTTAAAGCAATCTCTACCTAGTACAGAGACCGCTTTGGCTCTGTACACTGAAATAGAAAACACATAACTTTCTGTGTTCTGTGACTCAGAACAAAGCGTCATTTTTGTAAAAATGCCGTTTTGTTTAACTAGCATTGTCACACAGTTTCAAGCAGAAATTAGTTGCAACTAACAACACATGTTATCAGAACCAGATTAAAGGCACAGAAATTTCCAACACTCACACTAGTTAGCCTAGCCCCAAAGTAAGCACTGTAAAGCTTATGTTAAGAGATACTAGGGGTAACAGATAGAATACATATACAGTACATATATAAGTATACTCATATAGAAATACACATTAAACATCCATGACTGGAACACAAATGTTCGTATTCATCACACAAACATCTGTCCCCACCGGGATTCGAACCCGGGACCTCTCGAGTCAGCGACAGCCATGAAACATGGCGTACAAACCACTCGGCCATGGAGGTCGTCTATGATTTGTTTGATAAAAAAAAGCATATTGTAGGTAGTTACTGTCATTTAACTGACCTCATCACTCTGGGACAGTGGATCATCATCAATTACAGCACGTGGGTCCATAGAAAGCTTCATTTTTAAGTCATCATAATACTTCCTATGACTTTTTAAACTGGAAAAATAAATAAATATACATGTAGGATATTGCGTGTATAATCACAGAATTATTGACTGGTTAACTCTTATTATTTGGTGGTTTTGAAGACATAAATATCTGTGTACATTCTGTTAAATCTTCTATGTGGACAATCATATTTCACATTTTAAAGTCGATAGTGTGAAAGGTGTTAAGATAACCCTGCCCCCCCCCCCCCTCCCCTAGCTTGAACACCGCGACATGATAGCTCATATTTATCACGCTCAAGTGTCAAATTACTACAGAGTTTGACAGTTAGACACGATAAAAAAAATTGCTAAAATGTAAATTGGGGTACTCATGCTATGGGGACTGAGATTATTTTATATGTAAATGCTACGTGAGCGTTGTTCGCTAGCAAAACGCGGTGGCCAATGTGAGTGCAGTCTGAAATAAAATTGTATGTTAATATGGCTCCTACTTATCATAACAGTCATTTAGCCTTCTAACATGGCTATTTGACAAGTTATTGAAAACATTTTCGATATTCATCATTCTTTTGAAGAAGTCCAGTAGGTCTGGCATCTTATGTGGATCTGACTGCCAGCATGTAGGTTCACCTGTGGACGTCGTTGCTAACATGTTGGCATCCACACTTAGCTTCAGCTGACTACCTTTGGTTGTAGTTAATCTCGATCACCAGTGTGTGTGGTTGGAGTTCCAGTCTCCACCTGTTATGAACCGGTTATTGAAACTTGCAACACCGGTTATCAAAACATTTTTCCACAATCCGTTTTTAACAGCACAAATAAAATGATTTATTTTCATACAGAGTCCAATATTTTTATTATATTAGACAAGTAACACTGTGTAGTAAAAGTAATAATGAACGTTTTTTTTTTTACTTTATGACCTGGTAACAAAGACCTTTAGGTCATAACTTATTTGGAAATAATGAATGATCTTCATAAAAATCACAGATAATCATCATCAAATATTGATTTTATGTTTTATTACTTCCGTGTGTACAGAGGGCGTTCATAGGTTTGCCTTCTGAAACACAGGGGAGCTCAAGAGAATAAGTTTTTGACCACCCACCCAATGACCAACCATTGTGAAAGTAACTTAACTTTCACGATTGCGAGCCAAATGCTTTAACCACCTGCGCCATCGAGCTCCTCACAAAATGTAGACTATTGTTATAATTTAAAATTTTAAAGCATGTAACTGCTTGATGTTTAAATCTAAAGAAAATGTCACTAGAAAAAATTCCACGCGGACCAGGCAGCAGACGGGACTCGAACCCGCACCCTTCGCAATCCGGGCGAATGCACTGACCAATTATGCTACCGCGGCCCTCACGGACCGCGTCGAAATTCCTCTAGCCATTCTTAAGCTGCAAGGCAGATGTAGACTATTGTTTATTCCAAAGTTCCCACCTAGCAATCATGTCGGATTGTAGTGATGGCAGGGCCTGGAGCAGAATGGACCATGCTAAGCCACGCGGCCTCACTAGCCGATGTTCCACTGCAGCCTGTTTTAAAGATTCTAGATTCCATTCAGATAAGCTGAAAGAGAAAACAAAAGCACATTAATTTCCATTTACTAATAGGTACCAAAACATTTAAAAAAATATTAATCAAATAGATATTTGGATTTAAAACATGGAGTTCTTCTTCTTCTTTTTGTTACTTGGTGCCTCTTTGTTGATTTCACTAGACTACATTGTTTTTGTACGATCAAATCGTACATTTTGCAAGCAAAGCATTTAATTGTTTAGGTCAATATTTTACCGTTTAAATACATTTCATAATCACGTCCAAGTTAGTTCGCGTTTGTCTCAAGCAGTGTGCACACAGTTACATCAAGTTTAATAATAAATATTTTCGTCAAGTTTATCAAGTGTATTCCTGTCTTCAATATCAAGAAATAGCAATTCAATGTACTGAGTTGACAAGGGCTCGTACATTAGTGGTCCTTCGAGAGGTTTTCAGTGTTTTTTCGTGGTTTCGTGTGGTTGCGAATCGGCTCGTCGGCCTCCCACAAGCGGGTCTCACCGACCGAGTTGAGAAGGCGCATAAGATCACGCGGAGTCTGAGGAAATACTGAAGAACAAGAACAAGCGAGTCAAAACCATTATTATTATCAGCAAGAATTTTCCTTCATCAAGACGAAGGCTGAATATTTTTTCACTGACGAGTGAAATCAATACAACAAGCATTCAAGCATAATATCAAGTAGGTACCTATATATATTGTTTTTTACTATCAAGAAGAATATTCGAGCAAGAAATCGACAAACGTAAGAACTCATTCAAATCAAGACACTATCAAGACAGGAAATTATCAAGTTTTCAAGATGGAAAGTTTAATTGAGAAGCAGAATATTATCATGTCTACTATACAACAACTTTGGACTAATTTCAAGAAAGATAGCAAGATACGTAAAACGCCTGTGTATATCAAGAATAAGCTAGAACTTCTAGAATCGAACTGGACTGAGTTTTCGGAAAATCATGCACTGATTCTAAGTTTCAACAACAGCAATGATGAATACTTCCTTCAAGATCACTATGGAGAGACGAAAAAATTTTGTGAAGAAATACGAAAATCTCTAAAAAGTTTTATTCCTAACGAAGAACAGTTTGGGGCAAGTACTAGCAAGGAAAACCTGAAAGAAATTTGGCACGAGCAAATTGATCAAGCTAGTTCATCAGGATCCAGAAACAAGAGTGAAAAAGTAGAACTGCTTCTCAGGAAATAATTAACCAATTTCAAAGCTTTTTCACGCACTTTATCTCATATTGAAATTGATAATATTAAAGAGAAGTGGGAGTTTGAAGATGTGTTGAAAAATATTGAGATGAGATGGCTGGCGATCGACAAACTTCATTGGGAAATCGACAGTGAACTGGGCGACGGAAATAATGACAAATATTATGATAATTTTTTTACCCAACATGAGGCCGATTATATTCGGATCAAGAAAGAGATTAATAGCAAATTATGGGCGGTATTCCATCGAGAGAAATCTACACCCAAACTTGATATTCCGGAATTCAATGGAAATTACCAACAATGGGTGTCGTTCAAGGACTTATTTTCGGAAGCAATACACGACAACCCATGCTTATCTAATGCTCAAAAAATGCAGTTTCTCAAAAGCAAGATAAAAGGGGAACCAGAACGCTTAATACAGCACCTGACTATCAGCTCTGATAATTATATAGCGTGTTGGGATATACTGAACCACCGTTATAATAACAAAAAACTGATTTTCACTACGCATATGAATACTTTATTGACACTTCCAGTGATGCAACAAGCCACAACAAGTCTAATTAAACGCATTCACGACGTAACCCAAGAATGTCTTAACGGTATTAAGAACTTAGGGGTTGATATAACCACCTGGGATCCCATCTTAGTACACCTATTGGCACAGAAACTAGACGCCGAGACCCATAATGATTATTTGGAATCATTGACCTTACCACGGGAATTACCATCATTAAAAGAATTTTTGGGGTTCCTTGAAGGCAAGTTTACAGCTTTAGAAGCATCAAGACGCAAGCAAGATAACGCAATACAGAGGTCAAGTTACAGTATACCAACAACATCTGGAAATAGCCGTCCCTACAGACCGCAACAACAAACCAAGAATTATTATTTAAGCAACAAAACAACAACCAACGCGTGGTCTCAAAGAAACAAGATCCAATGCCCTATATGCAAAGGTGATCACGGGATATACTTCTGTCAACAGTTCCTGGATATGTCGCCTGCAACGAAAATAAATACAATTGGGAAACTAAAACTTTGTACCAATTGTCTCTACAAACACGAAGAAAAAAGTTGCAACTCCAACAAAAGATGTAAAACGTGCAATGGATGTCACAATACACTCCTTCACAACGCATTTACAAGTCAAGCGTCAGCAAGAACCCAATTTACGCCAAAGGAGCAAGCTCAGCGAACAAGCGCGACTCACGTGGCTCAACAATGTGAAAGGTCAGAAGTCTTACTCGCCACGGCCAAGATAAGAGTTCAAGGATCAGATGGAATATTCAGGATCATGCGTGCTCTTATTGACCAGGGATCTCAAGTTTCCCTAATAACAGAACATGCTGCACAAACTCTAAAATTACATCGCTTCAAATACAGTGGAGTTATAACAGGAATTGGCACTAAAGACAACATCTGTAAAGGAATGGCAAAAATCAATTGCACGTCCTTAAGGGGAGGACATACCTTCAACTTAGATGTTTATATAATGAAAAACTTAACAAGAAATCTACCTACCTGTTCATTCCCGAAACCATCATGGCAAATTATAGAAAACCTAGAACTCGCTGATCCAGAATTTTACATAAGCCAACAAATCGATTTATTACTGGGAGCCGATATTTACGCAAACATTATTTTGGATGGTCTCATTAAACAGGAATATACGCCGGTTATTCAACAAACAAAACTCGGTTGGATTTTGTGTGACAAGACACACAGTCTACAATGCAATGTCATACTCAATGATATGGAAAATATTCAGTCTTTTTGGGAGATAGAAGATATAATCAATGACATCTCAGTTACATCACAAGAACAAGAGTGCATAGATCTCTATAACGCCACAACGACAAGATTACAAGATGGAAGATACCAAGTACGACTTCCCCTTAAAACATCATATGCCACAGAAATCGGCCAGTCTAAAAATAGAGCTATTGCACAATTTCAACAATTAGAAAACAAATTATTTAAAAATAATTCAATTGCAACACAATACAAGTTGTTTATCAACGAGTACATTGCACTTGGTCATATGAAACCGGTAACTCGTAACAAGAAACCGGAATACTATATGCCTCACCATTGCGTGCTAAAAGAAGACTCAAGTACTACGGCTCTTCGAGTTGTCTTCAATGCATCGCAAACAACATCCAATGGAACAAGCCTTAATGATTTTATGTACAAGGGACCGAATCTTCAAAATGACCTTATGTTACTTATTTTGAAATGGAGGCAGCATCGCATTGCATTCATAGCCGACATAGAGAAGATGTACCGTCAAATCTGGGTACATGAGAACGACCAGCACTTGCAAAAAATTTTCTGGCGAGACCATCCTAACCAAGCACTTCAAGAATTCCAACTCACAACTGTCACTTATGGCACCAAGGCCGCCCCATTTTTGGCAATGATGACGTTGAGAAGGTTGGCCCAAGACGAGAAAAATACCTACCCTGAAGCAGCTACGGCTGTTGAAGACTGTTTCTACATGGATGATCTGCTACACGGCTGCACGAGTGTGGAAAAAGCTACAAGATTACAAGAGCAACTTATAAAATTATTGAGAGCAGGAGGATTCAACTTACGAAAATGGATGTCAAACTCTACGAGTATATTACAAGACTTTAACCCTGAAAACCAATCTGCAGATCAATACAATTTCAAGAAACCAACATCTACCAAGACGCTCGGACTACACTGGGATCCAAAACAAGATCAATTTTTCTTTCAATGTAAAATTAACTCTACGGAACCCTCTGCCACTAAAAGGAAATTACTATCAGAAATATCGAAATTATTCGACCCTCTCGGCTGGCTGACTCCGATTTCTACCAAGCTAAAACTACTTTTTCAATCGGTATGGAAGATTAATCTGCAATGGGATGACATGCTCCCCGATGACGTCAGTAAAGAGTGGCTCAAAATCAAGCAAGAGATTAACATCATAAACACTTTTAAAATACCAAGATGGATCAACACGGGAGCCACAAGTAATATCGAACTCCATGGCTATTCTGATGCGTCGCAACAAGCATACGGATGCGTCATTTATTGCAAAACAGAGTACTGTGGACAACACAACATCTACTTACTTGTGGGAAAATCGAAGTTAGTTCCTTACAACAAAAATATTACTTTACCGAAGCTGGAATTAAGCGGAGCTCATCTTCTTGCAAAATTGATGAACAAAGTGAAGAATAGCTTGAATACTCATCACATCAAGGTGTATGGCTGGACAGATTCGACTTCAGTACTAGGGTGGCTGCAAGGAAATCCGGACAAGTGGAAAGTTTTTGTTGCGAACAGAGTTAAGTCAATTACAGAGATAATTCCCGCAACCTGTTGGCGCTACATAAAATCAAGCGAAAATCCAGCTGATTGCACAAGCAGAGGCATGTTACCCTCTCAATTAGCGGTACATCAACTTTGGTGGAACGGACCTCATCAATTGTCTTTAAAAATGGAAGAAAAACCGAAATTGGAATTCAAAACAACGGAAGAAATTAGATCTCCAAAGCAAGTCAATAGTATAATAACACATTCGCAAGAAACAAGAGACAATATCATGGACACCCTACTAAATCGTTGCAATTCATTTACTAAACTCATACGCGTATTGGCATGGGTACGCAGATTTATAACAAGAAAACAAGAAAAGTTGCCTTATATTACTTTACCGGAGTTAGCACTTGCAAAAGCAACGCTTGTAAAGTATGTACAAGAAACAGCATATAAAGAAGACATAGATGCGCTACGAAAAAACAACTGCGTAAGAAGCCAGAGCAAGATCATAAGTCTTAATCCTTATCTCGACTCGCAAGGTATTTTAAGAGTGGGGGGAAGACTGAAGAACGCTCATATTCACCATGACATGAGACATCCCATTATTTTGCCACGGAACCATCGCTTCACAGAATTATTAATATATTTTGCACACAAGCTTACATATCACGGCGGAGCTCGTGTTACATTGGCCTTCATACGTAACAAGTTTTGGATAGTTGGCGGAAATAGTATAACAAAACAGTTATTACGGCGTTGTGTCACATGTAAGCGCCAAAAACCAGAAAGACGTTATCAAATAATGGGAGATCTACCAGAAGCAAGGGTAAACCAATCACGCCCCTTCGAGCATACAGGGATAGATTTCACGGGTCATGTTGACGTCAAGAGTAACAAAGGTCGGGGGATTAAAACCAGCAAGGGTTATGTAGCAGTCTTTGTTTGCATGGTGACGAAGGCTGTCCACCTCGAACTAGTTTCGGACTTGACGACTTCAATACTCCTAGCAGCTGTACGAAGAATGGCAGCGCGAAGAGGCACTCCCAGCCACTTCTACAGCGACAACGGTCGAAACTTCGTTGGTGCAAGCAACGTATTACAGCAAGCTTATCAAGATTTACAACACATAATCAATGACGAGTTTTTGGCAGAGATAGCCAATATGGAGATTACCTGGCATTTCAACGCTCCATCATGGCCTTCAGCAGGAGGATTATGGGAGGCTGCGGTAAAGAGTTTTAAATTTCATTTCAAGAGGGTGATTGGTGATCAAAAGCTCACCTTCGAAGAGCTGACGACTCTACTCAGCCAGATAGAAGCATGTCTAAACTCCAGGCCACTCTGTGCAATGTCGGAAGACCCAGCAGATTTGGATTATATAACACCTTCACACTTTTTGACAGGGGGTCCTACTTTGACACTAATAGAAACTGAATATGAACAAGGTGCGGCGTTTTTTCACGCCCGATCAACTGTGCTTGTTGTACAAAACGCAAGTGCGGTCCTGCGTGGAATATTGCTCGCACCTCTGGGATGGCTCCGCCAAGTACTTGCTCGATGCTTTGGATAGGTTACAGCGGCGCGCGATCCGCATCATAGGCGATGAGGAGGTGACTAAACACCTTGAGCCTCTTCAATTACGCCGTGACGTGGCGTCACTAAGCGCGTTCTATCGTTTGTACCACGGCGAGTGTTCTGAGGAGTTATTCTCTCTTATCCCACCTTCCCCTTTCCTTCAGAGGACCACGCGCGCTGGCCTACGTTGTCACCGTTTTACTGTGGCCACAATTCCAACGCGTACAAAGAAATTTGGTGACTCATTTCTTTGTCGCACTATCCGTAAATGGAATGCTCTGCCCGCTCACGTGTTCCCTCCCTCTTACAACCTGGGATCCTTTAAAAGAGGCGTGAAGAAGCAGCATGCAGGCCGGCAGGGTGAGGATGGCTGGTGTGGCAGGTAGAACTGCTGTATCAGCTATCTTCGCGTCTGGACTTCACCTTCACTTAACATCAGGTGGGGTGGAGTCATTTGTCGGACCTAACTATAAAAAAAAAAAAAAAAAAAAAAAAAAATATGACTTACGGACTAGATGGCATCTAACTCAAAAAATATTACAAGATATTTGGAAACGATGGCGAATGGAATATTTGACAGAATTAAATAAAAGAAGCAAGTGGAAGCAGCCTCAAAGAAATATTAATTTAGATGACGAGGTACTAATTCACGATGGTAACCTGCCGCCTGGCAAGTGGGCAATGGGCAGGGTCACGGAACTGCATCCAGGCAAGGACAGATTTGTTCGGGTCGTGACCTTGAAAACCAAGAGCGGTGTAATCAAGCGTCCTGTCGTTAAGCTGTCATTATTATTGGAACATGAAAATAATCAAGATCTTTCCAGCCACCATGCACGACAAGTGGAAAAAACAAAGCAACGGACTGGAGAGGAAAAATACAAAACACAAAGAAGCACCTACAACCTGATGTCTTTCTTTACCGCTCTACTACTATTTTTCACATTCTTATCAAGTTCAGAAGCTCAAGTCAATATCAAACAATTTCCATCAAATCAAAGCCTATTTTTTGATAAAATATCCGACATGATGGTGATCAAGGATGACTGGAAATTAGTTGTTTATTATAACATGGAACCCTACTGGCAAGGCGTTAATTCATTCAATCGATATATACAAACATTGAGCCAAACATGTGCTAATATCAAGAAACAATCACACTGCGACATAATACTAATGCAATTACAACACGGCTTCTCGGAATTGGAATACTACGATCATATGTTGCTGACCCAGCATGCGAGCACGCGCCCTGCGAGACTGCGTCGGCGCCGGCGAGGCCTTATCAACGGTGTCGGCTATGTAGCTAATAGCCTGTTCGGCGTGTTGGATGAACGTTTTGCTGAAAAATATGAAAAGGACATCCGCATGGTACAAGAAAACCAAAAACACTTATCATTACTTTGGAGAAATCAAACATCAGTTATTGAGGCCGAATTTAACTTATTAAAACGAACCGAAGACATAATGAATAAACAATACAAGTTGATAAACAAACACATGATTGACCTGGACACAGCCCTAAACAAGTTGAAAGGAAACATAGAGACAAGTTACATAATGAGCGATTTTAATACGGGAGCTATTATTGCAAATAATATGTTACAAGTGTTGAAAGGCATTCAAAACACTTTATTAGATACAGTTACCGATATATACCATGGCCGATTCAACTTACATTTGCTTACTCCAGAGCAACTTACGAACGAATTGAGTAACATCGCAAGCAAGTTACCGAAAGACGTATCTTTACCTATCGACAATATACATACGGAGCTGCGAAAAATTTATAACTTACTTCAAGTAAAAACAAGGATGTTAGAAAATATACTTATATTTGAGATAAAGATACCCCTTATCGGCCGTGACTCATACGAACTTATGAAGATGAGTGCTATACCAAAACAAGTTGGTAATAATATGGTCAGCATCATTCCAGTATCGGACTATATTGCCATTAACATTAAGAAGGATGCCTACATGCTTATGTCTAATTGGGACATACGGTCATGCATTATAACCACGGATTACTATTTATGTCACGTGCAGAAGCCTATTTATCAATTAAGAGATGATAAGAATTTCTGCGAAATAGAAAAATCACAATGCAAGACCACAATAACAACATGCAATAATTATTGGCAAGAAAGTCACTCTACAAATACATTTGTATATTTTTGCTGCGGACGGTGTCAAGTTCGCGCTATGTGCGAAGATCATATGACGGGACATCAGCTGTTAGAGGCCGGCCTTGTACATATAGGTCAGGGATGCATTTTCAAGACTGATGATTTTACGGTTTCTTCGCATAAAGGAGCTTACAGTGAAACGAAGGTGGTTCCCGATATTTACAATTTAGAGCTGGCCCCGATAAATAATATCATCAACTTGTCACTGGCGAACTTCACTTTGAAAAATGAGTCACTTCATCAAGAATTGCAACAAGTGCAAACAGACATACAAGAGCTCAAAGAGTCGAATATATCGATGGAAGAAGTATCACTTCATGATATCCACCACTACACCATGATTTACGGAATAGTGGCTGTGATTGGTATCGCCGCATTAACGTATGCAGTTCGGAAATTCAAGTGTTCCCGCTGCGCCTGGCGAGTGCCGCGTGCGATCGACACCGACGCTGAACCGACGCCGGCCGACGCGCCCCGAGACATCGTCGCTGCGCCTGCACCCGCGCCCGCGCCCTCCTACGCCGTCCCGCGTGTCTCCCGACAACGTGCTCCACGACAACAAGGAAACCGCGCCATTTTTGAATTATAAAATTTATTTAATCATGATTTATTTCTTATATCAGTTATTGTAATTTATTTTATATCAATGTAACATTTCAGTAATTGTGTGACAACATTGACTGGGTCCGTTATGTCCTGTTTTCATCTCGCGCCCTGGAATATGTACGATCAAATCGTACATTTTGCAAGCAAAGCATTTAATTGTTTAGGTCAATATTTTACCGTTTAAATACATTTCATAATCACGTCCAAGTTAGTTCGCGTTTGTCTCAAGCAGTGTGCACACAGTTACATCAAGTTTAATAATAAATATTTTCGTCAAGTTTATCAAGTGTATTCCTGTCTTCAATATCAAGAAATAGCAATTCAATGTACTGAGTTGACAAGGGCTCGTACAGTTTTTTTACTTTGATAAAAAAAGGAAATCTATCTTTTAAATATTTTCAAAAAATTTAAAGTCTACCCTCAACATTGTCAATAACTGTCATTTCTCTTTTTTTAAGTTTTAAACTTATTATTTCAAATTTAATTACTTTTATACTTTAACCTGTTTCACAGTGAATAACCAGTATTATTGTGACAGAAGACTTATTACGCTTTACATTACAGAATCTAAATAATATTTCTATACATTTATTTGTATCAATAATAAACATAATTCCTGACATTACCACAATACATCATCTCGAAGTAGCTTAGCTGTATAGGTGAATAAAGGAAAAAAAAGTAATAAAAACATATTCCTTACTCATAATCCGCAATATCCATATTGATTTGAGATGGAGAGCTGGAGGAGTCGTCACTCGTAACGTTCTCCTGGAAATTACGTTCAGTTTTGGAATCATTATTGATAAATAAAAACAATAAAAAAATACTAAACTACTGACCATGATATTTGTTTGAAGGTATTTTATTTATTATAATAATACTTGGATGTACACTAAATAGCACGACATTTCTAAATGAACAATATGATATACTTTTTTGTGAATAAAATTAACTTAATCTATCTATTTCTCACAATGTTTGGATAAAATTGAAAAAGTCAACAAGGTAAAATTTTCAGATTTTCCTTCAGATAACTGTAGAACTGTCAGATTCAATTGACGTTTTGTGACATTAACAGTGACACATTTTTTTTAGTTCCATTTTTCCCTATTGGGAAAGACAAAGGCAAAGCCATGCAGCCATCGTCTTATTTTTGTATTAATTTTCCTTTTTTACATTAGAATGTGGGTGTGACGTATTCTAATGTTTCTTGGAGTGTTTAGCACTAAATGTATCGAGTCAGCTCTCTCAATAAGCTTCTGTGAGGTAATCAACACTACAATAGAGTTCTCACATACACTTGACCGATATAACGAATATTTTAAAGATTCCATTAATTCTTCAGTTGCACAGACCATTGCAACACAAAATCACACCAATTTTATTTCACAATATCCACTATGAACGAATTTAAAGAATATTAAAAACATGAAGCCAACCGCACTCGATGAAATCCCGCCAAAAACTCACAGTGACACAAAAAGTTACAGCCATGACATAAAGGTGCGTACAGACTGCTAAACTATAAAATTCATATTATTAATATCGGCACACCATTTATATTTACATACGTTCAAACCACGCCGTACTATACAATATAGATAGTTTGAGCTCAGTATACGCGTAATGCCGGAACTTCACTTGACCATACGTATTTACTATTAGGAAACTTGACACGTCTGTCTTTTTCATTCCATATAAAGCATGATAGGGGACAGACTGTTGTCAAGTTAACAAATAGTAAATACGTTTAGTCAAGTGAAGTGCCGGCAGAAAACTATAAAGCTGACATTTCCTTTAAATTTCTTTTTTATATTATTCTACAAATGCGAATGCAACGAACATTATGTCTGTACAGCTTGTTGTATATCTATATTTTTCTTTTTATAGCACACTCTTGAAACGTTCTCCCATTATTTTCTAACTGTAATATTTAGAAAATATCACTATTTTTTCCTTTACTATTACTAAAAAACCAAAAACAGGGTTTTGCACCATACTTGCATAAAAATATATGTTAAGTATATACGACTAGAGGTAAGGTTAGGTTATGTTATAGATCAGAGAATTCTGTGATATCGTTGATACGAATGTAACCCATTAAAACTTTTCACTTTGTAGAGAAAATTGAAGTGATAATAGAGTTTGTCATAATTTATTAATTTAATAGAAACGTATTTTTATATCGGAAAATTGTGAGTTTCTCTTCAATACTCAAAAAAAAACTGACTTTTATGCAAATATCGTTACTGGTGGAAGGTAGTTTAATAATAAATCTAAATTTCTAAGCCATCTGAAGCCATTCGAAGATAGTACCTACTTTAAAGCTTTGTCTGAAGTACCTATTTAATAAATAAAGTAATACAAATTATTTTTCTTTTTTTTAAAAGAAGTTGAAAACATTTATTTTATACCTGAATCTTTGATTGAACAAATAAATACGGAGTCAAATCCTTCTAATATGGCTATGATATATTAAATCTTTATTCCCATTTCTTTTACTTTCATTCGTTTTTGTAAATTTTTTGTTCGGGGCAATCATGTTTTTTGTATAATTTTTTATTTTTCTAACATTTTTTTTTATTACATTTATACTTTTTTCTGCAAATGAGCACTTCCCATGTACAAATGGAATTTTACAGAAGAATCAACGCCATTTCGTGCATAAAATTAACCACGATAATGTGTATACGAATCAAATATGTACTAATTTTAATATCATTATAAGACTAAGAAAAGTAGTACTTAACTATATTTTAAAATTATGCTTCATAATCGAAATAATGTTTCTATAGAAATAGAAAGTAAATATATCAAGTATTTAGTACCCTATAATAACAATAAAATTAAATAAGAATCGATAGCAGCGCCATACACAGCTGCAAATTTAAGTTGGTTTGGTGGACGTTCCATACGTAACAAAGATAGAGCGTTCCGATTGTAGTCTGTGGATCTTTCTCTTTTTAGTTAACGAACGAACGCTCTCGCTCGTTGAATTGGTATTTGTGAATTTTTCAGTGTAATACCTACATTTTCGAAATATTTTTTTCTTTCAATGCTAAGAAGTGTCAGTCTATATGTGTAATAAATGTGTACAATTACCGTCACGGCAATGGATTGGATTATATTAACAATAATGGAGCTATCGCGCCTAGTAACATCGCAAGCGCTCACTGCCTTCCGACTGCGATGACCAAGCGACGACAGCGGGAATCATGATCGCCAATTTACCGCTTCTTTTTGCCAGTGGCAATCCGACAGCGCTATCGAAAATTAGTGCTAAACAGCTGGAGAAGTTTATTACTTTTATGGTGACATGTTCCTGGGGTCATGACACTGCCAAAGATATTCGCCAGCCTCCATGGTGGCCGAAAGATGTGACATTTTCCCACCCTTTTGTCAGACCAATAGAGGTCCCCAAAGACTGGGAGGCAAGGTTGAAGAACCTTGTAAAGAGATGCTACGAATTCCACAAAAGTTCATTTTTGCTGGTGTTTTCAGCTCAACTGGCACGCTACCCACGCAACAGGCTCAGGTATGTTGACAACCGCGATCATACTACGTCTCTCTATTATCGTCCGAGTGGTCGGCTTCTTGTCACATTCAGAAATGAGAATATCAACTATGACAGAGATGTACCGATAGACTTGGAGGATTCACCTCACCAACTGCCACCGCCGCCTGCTGATATATATTTGTGTGACAGTTGTGACAATCACTTTGATAGTTTAGAATTATTAACAGCACACGAGAGGCTTTGTAATATTGAAAATGCAGGATCTAATGGCGGAGGTCTTCCTGAGTTTCTTTCTGCCTTAAAGCTACAACCTATTGGTAGTCAATCACAAGCATTGAATCCTAAAAACTGTCAAAATGAAATCAAGCCCAGGAATGCAAGAAGTGCAGCCAACATTGACAGGGGGCCTCCATATCCATTCTCATCTTTAGCTTATATGAGAAATGCCAAGTCAAACATACAGAGAGATACCAGCTATTCGAGGGAAAGAATAGAGAGGTACTGCAGTGCCCCATTCCCTGTTAATAAAACCTTAGTTAGTAAAACTAGGAATCAACAGTTCCCGGTACGGTACAGAAGACCAATTGATTACTGGTACAGGCGACACACATTTCCAAATCAGAGAAACAAACGGATTCTAGATCTGAAAGGTCAATTGTTGCTATTAAAATGCCGCCCAGTTTCAGTAGACATTGAGCTGATGACAGAAAAAGGAGTACAGGACTACATTGAGAATTTGAAGCAGGAGGCAGAGAGAAGAAGAGTTGCGGCCGAGAAGGACGTTATATATGTGGATGGATTAGAGTATAGTGACCTCACGTCAGCAAGTGAAACGAAAGATCCCCTGAATAGGTTAGAGGAGTGTGAGGTTATTGATCTTTGTTCTGATGATGAAGGAGGAAGTGTGAATGAGAACTGTGATCCCCGTGCTGGGATAGCTTGTGTGATGCGTGGTGGTGCAGTGCTTCGACGAGCAGTGCCTCCAGCCACGCCTCGTCAGTTGCCTGCAGAACCGTGTGGTGCTCGTCACCGCCCGCTGCCAGTGGAGACCTGTGGTATCCGTCATCGCCCATTGCCAGGGGCTGTTCTACAACCGCACCCTGTCATTCTCATTGCGCACACACTAAACCATTTACAGACTATATCTCTAGAGTGATTCTGAGCAATTTGCCCATAATAGGTATGTTACTGATTATTTATTATTCCTTAATTATTAAAAATTTTAATGTTCTGTGTATGTTTCATTTTCTTGGGGTTGCACTAACAAAGGGGGATGACATGCAATCCTATATTGCTATGTATATTTTTCTTTTAAGAATATTTATGAACTATTCCCATTAATCATCATTTTGGTATCTTATAGTTTAACAGATATTAAAACAACAGCTATGGATTTCTAGTGGTAAATTTTCTGGACACAGTTACAGCTAAGCAGATTTAAGTATAATATATTAAAATATATAGTAGGAGAGCTAGCTACGTCACGAAAAAGTTCATTTTAGGATGGCTAATTTTTGTATAATTCCCAAAATTTCTCAAAATTTCTCCGAATCTTCAGAATATTTCCAATTTTTTACACTTTTTGAGGCAATTGAGAGAAAAAATGGGTTATCTCCGAAAAAATGGGAATACGATTTTCTCCCGTATTTTTCGAGCTTCGATGTACTTACTACTGCAGTTATATTGAACTTTTCTATTAAAAAACACGAGACAACAAAATACAAGCGTTTACACTCGTGTAGGCGACGCCATGTTGAAAATAGCAGCTGTGGCTATACTTCTCTCCCTCTACCGCTCTCTGTCTCAGCTATCTCTCTCACACAACCGACGAATTAGTTTCCGCACCCTTAACTCACCTATTCTCCCCGAAACTTAAATTAATTTAAATTCTCATTAAGCAACAGAATTTCTGTCTGGTATATTTTTATCATATTTCTTTATTGCTGAACGACATTATATCAAAATTACAGACATACTAAAATTGTTTAAAAATAATTATTTTTTAATTATTGAAATTGTGTCTGGGGCAATGTTAGCAACAACAAAAGTGTCTGGCAATTATGGTTTTATATTGCTAACGAGACATGAAATTTATAAAAAAAAAATGTCTTAAAATGATTCAAAATGTACAATTTTTACCTGTACAGGTGGGATGCGCACAACTGAACGCAACCGCTTCCAGGTGCCAGACGTACCACATCCCAACCTACTGTCAATGAGAATGGGAATTATACAAAAATTAGCCGACCTAAAATTCATTCTCGAAAACGTTGCCAGCTCTTATACTAATAGCTTAATTTATATCAAGATATGCATAAAATTACAGTTAAGGAAATAAATGGTGGCTAATGAGAATTGTCACGAGTTTTTTGTTTTTAAAAGGACACATCATTTTATATTTAATTCCTGTCATATTTAATTACCCATCTGCAGGAATTTAATATGCTTCTAAATTGAATTATTCTGGACTACAACATGGCGCCCAAGTACCTTTAACAAAATGGCTGACTTAAAGGTAATCTGATACTCGGTCTGCTGTGATATATTGTATTATAAGGCCATTTCCCCATGTATAATAGTTTGTAAGTAGCTTAATTTTGTGTTACTTTTTGGTAATTTGTTTAAATTTAATTTGTAATTTTAATTTACCTGATTAGTTTCATTTTTATTTAAGTCTTTTGTGGACATGTACATGTTATACGTATGAGACTATTAAGCTACTAAATTATACTTTTGCAATTGGTTTCTTGTGTTTTGCACCTATTTCAACCTTCCACCTTACTGTTGCAAACTAGCGATAACTATAAGAATAATTATCGAAAATAATATTTTTCTTGAACAGCTTATGATACAGGGGAAGTCATAGTTTTGTTAAGATTTGAAAAAGATAGATCATTAGGCTGTATATGTTAAATGTGTTATCCTTCACTGACTGTGAGCAGGCTCATATCAGCCACAATGTGAATGTGTACGCAGTCTGTAGTTTTTGTGCACTATGCATAGTTTGTAGTATAAGCAGCACATGATTTAGAGGGTTTTGGTTTAGGGATTTTGGTGTCCATGGGGCAACGAAATACGGGAGGCCATTAATCATTTATATACATTCCAATTATTATTTTTTCAAGAACAATATTATTATTCCTGTATATTTTTTGTAATTTTTACAACTGAGGTTTTGTATTCTGTTCTTGATGAGACATCCCATTGTCAACATAGACATCAGCTGATCAGAATGGCTAGAGAACAGAGTGTAGGTAGAATAATGAAGGTGAAGCAGAGAGAAAAACATCTTTTATAGTCCTAAATGAAGACCGTTGTAAGCAGGGCTTACTGATCGATTTCCGGAATAGTGGTTAAGAAACAAGCAGGACTAAAGAGGAATGGATCAACAAGAAAGCAGTAGAAGTATTTGTAAGCTATGTACCACGAAGTCTCCACACAAACCGCACGAAAAAATGCACCAGGCTGGGTAAGAGACAGATAACTTCACCAAAACTCAGACCCACATGCTTAATGCCTTGATTGACTTTGTAGGGGTTACCAAAGACAACTAACTAAGAGGTAACAAGAGGGTATATGACAGAACAGCCTTCAAGGTCATTTATGTACAAAGGTCCTTGTAATATATGGCAGCATTAAGTAATATTGTATGTGGTTTTTTGATGTCGAACGGTGTGACCGGGAGGGGAAGCTTGTCTTCAAAACATCACCCCATGACCCGATAGTGGCGCTTACAAAGTTCACCACTTAATCCACAAAGTTCACTTATGCTAGAGCACAGGATTCCCGAGATGGCCGATACACTTAGATTCCGGAGACCTGTCTGTTGCCAGAAAGTCGGAACACTAGACAAATCACACCAACTCATAGAGTCCTCGGGTGTGGTAAGATGACGTGGGTTATGATGCCCAAATCGACATAGAAAGGGACATCATAGTAACGACGATCGCCGAATTAGCGAAAGATCTATGACAGACTGAAATCACGAATTGGAAACTGGGCAAACAGGGGATTATGGCAGCCCTTCTTGTGAATGGTATGGGCAAAAGCAAGTTCTGTAGAAACCTGATATTCGATGAAGCCCTTATGAGCCACTTCGGGTCCATATTGTTAGCAATCAAAATCCAGAGATTTTTTTTTTATAGATGGTTCCGACAAATGAATCCACCCCACCTGATGTTAAGTGGAGGTGAACACGTGATCGGGCAGAGCATTTCATTTACGGATAGTACGACAAAGAAATGAGTCACCAAATTTCTTTGTACGCGTTGGAATTGTAGCCACAGTTAGACGGTGATAACGGTAGCCAGCGCGCATGGTCCTCTGAAGGAAAGGGGAAGGTGGAATAAGAGAGAATAACTCCTCAGAACACTCGCCGTGGTACAGACGATAGAACGCGCTTAGTGACGCCACGTCACGGCGTAATTGAAGAGGCTCGAGGTGTTTAGTCACCTCCTCATCGCCTATGCAATGGTTACAGTGGCGCGCAAAGCATCGAGCAAGTACTTGGCGGAGCCATCCCAGAGGTGCGAGCAATATTCCACGCAAGACCGAACCTGCGTCTTATATAACAAGCATAGTTGCTCGGGCGTGAAAAAACGCCCCACCTTGTTCAGGACTCCGAGTTTGCGTGAGGCTGTTTTTATCACACTTTCGATGTAATTTTTTGGATTTAAGTCACAGCGAATCTCCATACCGAGCATGGTGATACTGCTCTTTAGCTCCAGTGTTGTGCCCTGAAGAGAAGGACATAAAAGGAATGGTGACGTTTTTGCCGTGAAAGACCTGGGTTTTCTTAGCATTGAATTAAACCAAGTTCTTGGTGCCCCATTCAGAAATGTGGTCCAAAGCCTGATTGAGTTCAATGACAAGATTCTCCCGTTTCTCCTTGGTTACCGCCTGCCCAGCCGCTGCTTGTCCGAAATACCCCGCATGCACTGTACTGTCGTCTGCATAGCAATGAATATTCCCAAGAGGAATTAGGTCATTGATATGCAGCAGAGAGTGGGGGATAGGACGGAGCCCTGGGGAACGCCGGCATTCACTGACATGAACCGCGAACTGCTACCATCCGTAAGGACACGAATTCTACGCTCATGCAGGAAGTCAGCTACCCAAGAATAGAACTGGGCCGGCAGACCGTATGCCGGAAGCTTGGAGAGAAGGCTTTTGTGCCAGACCCTGTCGAATGCCTTGGCAATGTCTAGGCTGATAGCCAACGACTCGCCCCGCTTGTCGATAGCCTCACCCCAGATATGAGTCAAGTACGCTAGAAGATCACCCGTCCATCGTTTCGGTCTAAAACCATATTGACGATCATTAATCAGGGAGTGATCCTCTAGGTAGCGGGTCATATGGTTGTTAAGGACCTTTTCTAGGACTTTACATAATACTGAGGTGACTGCTGTTGGCCGGTAGTTTGCCGGTAGGTAATAATGGTGGCAGTGCATTGCAATCATCGATTCGGGAGTTAACAGCAAAGAGTTTTGCCAGTAAATCGGCTTTCTCCTGTGGCTTATGAGCTAGTGTTCCGTCTGGACATCTCAGAGGTGGCAGCGAGGGCTGGCAGAAGTTCTTTTGCACGGCTTTGGCCAAACGCCAATAGCTACGGGAGCCCGTATGATACGTTATAAGTTCGTGACCAACACGTGCAACGCGCTGGGCATCCGCTCTGATGTATGCCTTCTTACAGGTCTTGGAAGCAAAATTGTAGGCTGCTTTTAGTGAATCGACCCCGGGATCGTTAAGAGCGCGGCCTCTGATCCAAGCACGATATGCCGCTTGCTTACGCGAAGCAGCTTCAGCATAGTCGTGATTGAACCAGAGGTTACGTGTGCCCTTACTGATGAGATTGGAATGAGGAATATAGTATTCCATACCCATTACAATTTCCTCAGTAATAGCAACGGCGCTGGCCGATAGGTCCTTGTCACTGAAGCAGCGCTGCTTCCAAGGGACGGACGCAAAGTAGTCACGTATAACGTCCCAATCTGCCAACCCATAGTGCCAGATCCGGTGTTTTACCACCGTTGGACGCGGAGGTTTGGCCTGTGGCGCTTTGGCAGATATCAGGCAGTGATCTGAAGAGCCCAAGGGGGCTCCTACCAGAACCTGATAGCCCTGTGGATGGGTCGTGAGCAGAAGGTCCAGCAATGATGGCGCTTCACTTGAAATATCTGGAATCCTGGTGGGCTGATCGACCAGTTGCTTCAAGTCATGCGTGAGAGCGAACGCGTGAGCAGAGATCCCTGCATGGTCAGTTTTCGAGGAACTTAACCACAAATTGTGGTGAGCATTAAAGTCCCCCAAAAACACCAATTCTGCATTGGGAAATTACTCCTGCGTGTCATCTGCTGCCCGACTAAGATGTTCGAAAAGTCGAGTTGTCTCAACATCGCCAGTGTGGGATCTGTAGAGGCACACGTAGACTCTGACCTGGGGACCTAAGTCGACGTGTACCCCCAATATGGAGAAGGAGGGATCTTCCAAGCAGCGGAGACGGCGACAATAAACATCCGCCTGTACATACAGGCATACACCGGATTCGCTTTGAAGGACTCTTTAAGCACGTAGCCGGCATAGTTAAGTAGTTAGATATAAACCAACTCCCCAACATCGACCGATGCAATCTCTTCTCTCTGCAATAAAATAGACTAAACAAAATTATAGCCACAACAAGTTGGCATTAGTGATAATCGTGTATACAACTCCGAGAAATCCCTCTTGGATCAGTGTTCCACATGCCATTATATATAGCAATCTGAATAACCTATGATATAGCCCCGTATTATCGGTAAAAATGCAAAAAAACTTCCGAAAAAAATGTTTTAAAGTTGCTGACCCGTCATAACTCGTTTTTTTTTTCACTGTTGTTATATTCCGTTCTCTTGTGACGACCCCTGGGTAGTCCCGCCTGCCGTATACAACCCGCCACTGGTGTGAACAAAATAAT